GCATAGCTTTACCTCTATTACTCTAAGGCTCAATTACAAATCTTCTGGGAAACGTAAGTGGATGGACAGGGCTCTCTCTTCTAATTCTTGGTTCTTAAGTGCTTGATGTTTTTTGGAGTGCTGGTGTGTGTGTGTACTGAGTCATTCATTCCCAGCCAGATTGTATTCTATACCACTTTTGCATCTTTTCATGAATAACCTGAAAGTCTCAAAAAACTCACAGTAGCTTATTGAAAGCAGAAACATAAAAAACCTTCTGGAATGAGATCTCTGACTGTACAGTGTGCTTATTATGCTGTATTGTGCCTTGCTTTACACTAACTCAACTCATCAAGTCCAGTGTTTCCTTAGAGGGAGCCAATACTCCAGGTAACCTAGAAAACATACACTTTTTTGGTGCAGTGGGATATCTGCTCCACTTACATTCAATCCTTTGTTTTATTGAACCCCATAGCTACCATCAGTGACTCCTCTCTGAAGTGTCCTCAAATGTGCTATTTATACATGGCAGCCACTCATATCTAGTTTATGTAATCTTACATAAGATTATGTAAGTGCTGTGCAGTGTGATCCTTGGTGCATGAACAGGGTCTGCTTGCCCCCTGCCCCAGGCCGGCTGTGCTTATCTTCCCTTATTTATTTGCCATTTTAGAGCATCCCAACTCAAGATTTTGTGAAACTCCTCCTCCTCCCTTGTGGACACCAGCTGCCAGCTTCATAAACCAGCAGACACAGGAGTGGCAGCAACATTATGTCATTGGTACTGGCCAGAGAGAAGTCATAGATTTGCTCTTGTCTCATCTGCCTAGCACTCTGCCAGTGTTGTTTGTTCCCAAGCATGAAACCCAAAGCAAGTGGGTGTGGGAATAGCTAGGTCACCAGCCTGCCTTCACACTTCCTTCACTCCCCAGGGGCACGTTCTTTTTTTAAGTTTTGTTTTGTTTGATTGGTCGGTGTTTTGTTTTTTGTTTTTTTTTCCTCAGCAAGCACTGACTTGTAATTTCTAACTTTAATTTCACATCATTTCCTTTTAATATGATTATCCTTCCTTCATGTAATTTATTCTCACATGTGCTTATAGCACTTCCATGCAATAAACAAGATTAATTAATGAGCTGTTTATCCCTTAACCTACATTGTTAACCAAGCTATTTAATAAAATCAAACCAGACATCTGGCCTAGCAATACCTGACTGGGCAGCCACCTCTTTTATCAACTTTCTACATTCAGCTGATGGCAAGTATTCAGTGCCAGGCACTTAGCAGCTATCTCATCAATGACTGCAGGGCAGACACAGTTTTTCATATTTATTATAATCTTGTAATGACAGACTGCAGCCCAGAAGAATGCTTAAACATGTTTTTAACTACATAGGTGCAATTAAGTACCCTTAATGGTTGTAGGACATGACCATATACTTAAGTGCTTTCTAAACTGCAGCTTTCTTGAGGTTTCCATTCTTGTCATACCACACAGCCTCCCATTTTTCCACCCCTTCTTTTCCAGCATGGAAAAACCTCCCCTCACATTCAGGAATTCCCCAAATGTCTGGTGCTAGCTGAGATGGCTCTGCAATTGTGTCCAGGAATTGTGTTCTCCCTGGACAGAGCTGTACGATGGTCCCTGTTCAGCACCACCAGTAACCACTGCATGCATCTCTGCCCCCATCCTACTTGCCAGGGACGGACTGTGGTCCTATGTCTGTTTCCTGGCGTTAGTGCCATTTCTTCCAGGGTGAACAGGCAGTGGCTGAGCCAGGACAAGGTCCAACTCCAAAGTTTTGGTTTTGCAGAGGGTGTTGTGGACCTACCTTTTCCCTGGGGAATTGTCTGCCACCCCAGCTGAGCCAGGGATGGGCATGCAGCCTGGCTTTGGTGCTAAGTGTGGCTTGGAGGCTGTCAGTTGATATTGCACCCTCCAGAAGCAGCAAAGAGCAGTAATTCCCTTAATAACTCCCTTGGCACTGAACAACATTTGGAACCCACTTACAATTATCTCATGAGGTATGTACATGAGGTAGATGGAGTCTCTGCATATTGCTGGACTCCTGTGTCCTATGCACCAGCCTAAGACCCTGCTCATGACCTCGCCTATGAAACTGCAGCTTCCTGGACAGAGTTGCACAAGGATAGATGCAGAAATCAGTTGTGAGCCACAACCATGGAGCAGATGTCATGGAAAAGTGCAACCCTAGGCTGCTGCAGTGCAGTGGGAGAAGGCAACAGCATCTTCTCACCAGCTATTGAAAGCTGATCTGGATGTACCCCTACTCTGTGCCTTTGGTGTCTAGAAAATACAGACACACCCCCAGCAGATGCAAGCATTACCTGCATCTGTAAGATGAAAAGCATGGCTAAGGAGTGCAAGAGGAAGGGAAGGCAAGGCAAGGCAAGGCAGCAGCAGCTGGAGTGCTCAGCTCTGCAGGGCTGCCACTGTGTGCTACAGTGGCTGCGTGTCCTGCCTGCACCGGCAATTGCAGAGCTTTATCACCCTTCACCCCACATCACACTGGGCCTCCCTCCCAGCCAGTGAGGCTGCTGGCTTCACATCCAATGAATCCTTGTGACTTCTGAGTTAGCTGCAAAAAATCATGCCACTTCCAGCTGAGAAGGAAGTACTACAGCCAAACTATTGAAAACAAAGTGAAATAAATAGACTGTACTGAGGAAGCACTTAGAAGGGGATAGAAAGGGAAGGCATGACTAAGAGGCAGCCAGGAAAGCCCTGCATTTATTTACAGGGTATAGATGAGCTGGGAGTGGTGACTGCTGTGATTGTTCTTTGCCACCTGACTGCATAATGAAAGACTGACTCCCTGAGACTGGGATAAAGCATGGCAAAATTGTAGTCAAGGAGAGAAGAGCACTGAGCAGAGATCCAGGGTCAGTCCTCACCATGCTCTTGACCTGCTATGTAGTGTAGGCCATCAGTATCACACCGACAACCTGTCCTTTCCTGGCCTTTGCCATGCATGCAGGCTCTGGGTCCAAAGAGAGCTGGTGCTGGTCTGGGCTCGATGACATTGTCATAGCCTCAAGTTTCTGGAGACATTGAGAGAACTTGAGTTTTCAGGACAATCTGTTCAGCAGATGTTGGTTGCAAATGAAAATTTGGAGAAGGAAGATTTACATTCAGCAAAGATACTAGACTGAAAAGGTTAAGGTTAGCGCTGGTCCACTGAGCTAGCAATGAGGTGTGCAGATGACATCTGCAGAAGGGCTACCATTAGTAAAGGTAATAATCATGCTTAAATCTCATCTGTTGTTTGAAATCTGCACCACCTGGGGGGAGAAGGAAGGGCTCATCTGACCCATTAAATGGGAAGATTTGAAGTGACTTTCTTGTAGCGGCACAATCTGCCATTGGCTGGGAGAAACTCAAGTGTCCTCTTCACCAGGCTATGCATGATACTTCTTACAGCACAAAGTGGTCACCTTGTCCATCTACAGGAGGGACATATGGCAGGATGGACAAGCCTGTGCTGAAGAACCAATTCCATCAGCTTGTGAAGAGCATCAGCTTTTGTAGTGCTCCAAGCTCAGCAGGGAGAAACGGCAAGCCCGCAGACCTTGATATTGGCAGGCACTAGTAACACATCAGGCTAGAAAGCAAGGGTAATGGAAGTGCAGCCCTGCTCCTGGGAGGGGAGTTCTCTGTAAATGGGGTAGATACGTGAAGAAGTGCTCTGCATCATGTGCATGAAGGGAAATAACCTTAGAGAAACAGATCAATAATGGTAGTGCCTATTGCACCTGGCTTGCCTCTGGGTACTGCAGTTCCTGTATCATGTTGCTGGAAATGCAGCAAGATACATTTGGTCAATGGTCAGGGTATGTTCTCCCAGAAAAGAATCTGCAGTGCGGTAAAAGCAGCAGGGATCCTTTCTGCAGTGAGGATCCAGACTGCTCTAAGACTAATAGACCTCTAATTCAGAGGTGCACAAACTGCTCCTGTGCTGAGATGCAAAAGAGATCTCTGGTCAGACTGTTAAAGTGTAAGGGTGACTCGTCATGTTAACAATTGCTGGCACACACTAACCCTGTCCAGTGCACTGCACCCCCTGAGAGCAGAGTTTACACTCAAACATTTCCCGGTGTACTTCCAAGCAGAGAGACATAGGTGTCAGTAGACTTCTTTCAGAGTTTTAGCTTGGTCAATGGTCACAACAGAAAGAACAGGGCCAGGGAAAGAGCCTGTTCTTACCACACTTCCCTTTAAATAAGGCTCTGTGCTTCTAGAGCATGCCCAAGATCTCAGTCCACGTGCACAGGCATCCCAACTATTCCCACCCAGGATTTTTACCAATATTTTAGGTACTGCAAATCTGAGATGCATATTTCTATCTGTTCTATAAGATACACATTAAATTTCAGGGCGTCATTAACAACACTATCAGCAACCTCACACCACCTTTTGAGTTGCTGGCTTAGGGGAAGGTTTTCAAGCACTCACCACATTTTGCACTCCACTTATGCCTGTGTGTCCAAACATTGACAGGCTGACAACTTTATCTCCAAAAACTTCACATCCTAAATCTTTGGCCTATTATTCATATGTGCTCCTTGTTTGGAGGAGTGGTGTTTGAGTGACAAAATTTTCTTTCTGCTACAGTCATTCTTTACCTCATTTCTCCAGGAATATGGGGATTTCCATACCTTTAAAAATTCCAGGACTGGTGCAGAATAAAACAAGTTACCATCAGTGGTGAGTGAAACAGGTTTTAAGCTCTAATTTTATGCCGGTGGTAAATTTGAGCCTTTACAGGTTTAAAAATATACCCTAGCAGAAGAAAATATTTGAAAAATGAGGTTCTAACTACATTTTTACCTGCAGATCAAACCTGGACTAACCAACACAACCTTTTAAGATTGCTGGCAATTATTTTGTCTTTTTGCTTGAGTGGAGGTCTGTTTCTGTAGTCTTTGCCAGCAGATCCTAAAGGGTGGATTAATATCATTATTGTGAGGGTTTACAAAAAGAATACAATGTTGCCTCTATATAGGTACTAAACAGGGTGCAACTTTATTTACAGTGTAAAGTGCATCACATGGAAGTCGTTTAAAACACACAACAAACAGTGACATAAATGACAATACAGTACTGGGTAGGGAAGGGAAAATATTCCAGCAAGTATCAAAACATCATCAATAGCACTAATATGACAGCCTCTAGTTTCAGCTATTCTGTCCTAACACCACATCTCCTTACAAAAAATATGTTGTCTGCGTTGATAATGGGACACCATGTACTAGTCACTAGTGTGAAGCTGGGGTGCTAAAAGCTATTCTGCAGCCCTAAACTCTCCAGCAATGTCCTGCCAGATCTAAGAACTCTCCTTACCACTGCTGTTCTGCTCTGGAGATTACCAGGACAGAGTCAGAGGACACACCAGAGAAGCACACTGGAAAAGGGACAAAAACATGAGAATGACATATAAATAAAGATCTGCTTTTCTCACCCATGCACTCTTTCCCTTGAGAAGTCCTGTGTTGCTCACTGCAGCTTCTCTCCATTTGCTGTTAAGGCAGCAAGGAAGTCAAGGAACAAAGTGCCTACATAGGGTGGTGATTGTGTGTTGAAATGTGGACATTACTTACTGAACACTAACTTCAGTCAAAGCTGTAAACATTGATGGCTGTGGAGCTGGGAGACAGAAGATTTTTGCTACGTGCTAGCAGAGTCCATTAGAAAAAGAAGGTTGTGGGAGCTATAACCACAACTCTTCAGCTGGTTGCAGCTCCCACTGGGAAGAAATCTACATTCACATTAATCTGATCCCCTAATGACTCCTATTCTTTACTATCTATTTTTCTTTTAATTGGCTGAAAGCTCCTAATGGCTGAAAACTTTGCTTGTTTCTTTCTTCCCCATTTCTGGTCTTGGGCTAACAGCCATCAGTTTTGTGTCAGTATTTACTAGAGCCCTGTTACTGTAACTGTGAGCTCATTTTGGTGTCGTATCACTTTCCTGTATCAGGGTTCATGCATAAAAGGAAGGTACATCCATGAAAGGGCTTGGGGTGGGGCAGTTTTGCACACTCTTAATCTGGAGGGTAACTAAGCAGGAACAGGAAGCTACAGAAGGTAAAATTTATTTCTCTTTTTTCTTTCCCAATAACTGCAAATTACACTTTTCTGTTATTACTGGGAAAAATGGAGCTTCTGATCAATGACTCTCAAGTTCTAAAATCTTTTTTCATAGATCAGACTTTTTGCTAACTGATGACAACTACCAAACGTGTGACTTTGAAAAATGCATGTGATTTCTGCCTTGTAATTCCACCATCCTACGTAATCATAAATCTTAACATTTCAATTCATCAGAGCATGACTTAATGATGGTACTCAAGTGTACTCAGACACAATGGGATCACCAGTTCGAGAATGAGAAACACCTGATAACATGTGTGCTCTCAATATTTCTCAGTCAGCTGAGCATTTCTGCCTGTGTGTGTTCTCAAGAGAGGCCTTTTCCAGTTTTATGAGGATCCTGCATAACAAAACCACAACATTTTGGCAAGCAGATAGCAAACTTTCACCTGTAAACATAACTTCCCTCTCCATCTCAGGGGCAGTCAAATACTGGGACCCAAACCTCAGATATCAAAAACATTCACCTAGCAGATAGCTGGTAGATATGTACTTCATTTATATAGGAAAGGGATGGTGGTTACAGGCTGGTGCTGAATTCCATGGCAAATGGAAAGTGCAAGTTTCGGAGATCCACCTGCTTCCTACTGCTGGATCCTTGATTATCCATCTTAGAGCTACACCTGAACAGCCTGTAGGTCAGAAAGCTTCAAAGGTTCTTGTTGGCTAGACTTAATCCACTCTTCTCTGATGTTCCCTCATCTCCTTTACTAAGAAATCTGAGGTAAAACTCATGGCAATGCCTCCCACTAAGTCATTCTCCAATGAAGTTAATGTCACATAAACTACACTACAGAATCTTCTTCTTATGCTCACCAGAAATGTGAGCTGTGGTTACAACACAGACCTTATCACACACAGTTATATTTTTTATTTAGCTAAGTTCAGAGAAAGGCCCAATGCAGAGTTTAGTGGCTCATTCAGCCTTGTGTAACACTCTTTACTGTTGAGTTGCTGGACAGTAGTATGCTTTGGCAGCTGGTATGCAGAATTGCCATATTCTGTTTAATCATGGTAGGCAGTATAGTACAGTTTAATTAGTTTACTTAATGTAAGAAATGGGAGGGACTTCACTTCCGCCTCAGTGGATTGTTGTGAATCTTTGCGTTTGTATGTGTATGTGTGTATGACACCTGTGTAGCAGCATATATTTGATAATACTTTTATAAATGAAAAATACAGAGGATTTCTTAAAAAAATGAAAAATGTACCACAAAATAAAATACAAAACAAGGATGCTGGGGAGGGGTGGGGTAAGGGAAACAATAGATTTGATTTACAATGCATTAGAATCCAAGACCTGGTGACTAGGCTGAAGAAAGATATCTGAATGTAGAATTGCTGCTCTGATGTTAAAAGGGATAGAATCCAGCCTTCCGTTTCCTGCATCAAAAATCCCAAACAAAATAAAATCAGTGATGTGCTGAACATACCAAATGGTCAACAGGGAGACACAAGAGTATGGTGTCTGAAAGCATACCAAGGATTAGAATGCCACAGCTCGAAGAGGGGGAGAGAGTGGGCATGGGGAGTAGAGATATCTGACATTTAATTTAAGTTATGGCTCATCACAAAGTAGTTTGTAACTATGCTTGTTCTGCATGCTGCTAAAACCTTTGGGACCTTTTCAGCTTCCCCTTATAAATCCACACCTTGTTAATCTTCAGCAGGGCATCTCTGCTACCATGTCATTTGCCTGTATTATTTTAGAACACCACATAAAGAGCCACAAGTAACTGAAATCAAAGCTTAACAAAATGGGAAACAGATATGAGAGCTTGTTTCTGTCTTCACTTCATTAACCTGGTTATGTTTGGAAAATGTCCTCTCAAACAGCCTTGGAAGGGACAAGCAGGTAGACCCCAATCCTATAGGGCTAATGAACCACCTTTTCTCAGACTTCCAATGCTGCATTGAGCTATGGATTTGGACAAAAAAACCCAACAAAATAAGCTGAGAATTGTCTGATTTGGGAATAGCCTGAAATTTTGCTTTGCCTCTCATGAGATAAACTCCACTATTCTTGGCTGTTATACCCACTGGATATGGACTTCTCTGCTTCATGGAAATACTACCAGACTTCAGATGTATACCTTTCAGTCTCAAGCTGAAAGATACTGTTTGTTGGCAATATATTTCAGTTGCTTCACTATGGCACATGTAATCACAGCTGACAAATGAAAACTATTCATTTTGGTCAAAATGATTTCTCAGCCAAGCATCTCTTCTGTAGCTTTAAGATAAACTGTATATCAGAGGGATAGGAAGGAATGTCTGTCACTGTCTGCCCAGAAAAAACAGAAAAAATTACAATGTCACAGGCTTCATCTGTTCCCTGCAGAAAAATATTAATATTCATATGGTTCTTATTTAGCTCTCCAGGATAATGACCACTGTGTTCAACATGAGCCTATGTGAGTTGAGGTATATACATTTTTTGCTATCATAGCCCATAGGTGCCAGGAGATTCAAATTTGGGACATGCCTCAGAGGCACCTTGTTGTTCTCTTTAAATGATTACATCACTCAGTGCTGTATGTAAGATCACTTATTATTTATGACAACTGTTCCATGACCCCAGTCTTGAACACGGACCCAGCTGAGGTATATACAATTCAAAATGAACACTAGTAAAGAGTAACCCACCAAAATTTCCTGAAGAACATTCTGTATTACATGTCAAAACACCACTTACATTTACATGATGAAAAATCAGTCTAAACAATTGTGGATTTGCCTGTCTGCTCACACATAAAGATAGAGTTTTCTGAGTTTTCTACAAGATTGGCAAACATTTTGCAGAGAAAGTCTTTACATATTGCTCATAAATCTTGAGTTACTGATTTACAGAATCAAGAGATGATCAAAATGTTAAAATTATTTGCTCATTCTTCAGGTTTAGAGTTCAGAAGGGTGTAATTCAGCCTAGCTCTGGGACAGTGCTCAGTGACACTTACCTGGAGCAGTCAGGTCCAGTCCAGGAAGAGGGGCAGTAACACCGATTTGGTCGTATGCACTTCCCACCATTTAAGCAAGGCAACTGGCAAACAGCTGCACAGAAACACATGAATTCGCATCAATGAGCACATCCTCAACAAGCTGATTTAGTAGCAGGGCATTGAAAATCCATCCTGCCTTATTCTGTTAAGAATGGGAAGGGCAGACTGAGAAGCACACGTCTGCCAAGTATGATTTGACTCTCTCTACTACTTTTGCTTCTGATGCATTGTATGAGCTGCATGAAACAACCAGTGTGTAATTTTACATTGACTTAAAAATTCTGTTGTTTTTAATTCCAATTAAGACAACAAAGGAATTCAAGCAGAAGCAGGAGGAAGAATTGGAAGAATGATAAGATGAACAGGAGAACAGGAATAAAATGTAGATTATTTTTTAAAAAGGAATGTGATAGCTTAACACTAGCCAGGACAAGCAGACACCAGACAGACATGGGGAAAAAGTATAGAAAGAGACAGCATAAGCAGAGGAAGCTGAAGGTCAGAAAGCCATATGTGGATCAATAGCAAGCGAGGAGTAAGACTTCATGCAATGGCACCTGTATGGAGACAAGGGAAGGAAGCAATGAATGACAGTAAGGTCCTGAAAGACACTGGACAGCCCTAAGTGGTGAGACTAGGTGCAACAGGGCATTAGAGAAAAAACCTTTGTCTGCCTTACAGGTCATGCTGACCCTGGTTGAACATGCTTTTGTGTGACAGTCTAGCCCAAGGGTATCAAGTAACCAAACAAAAGCCAAACTCTCAGGTCTTCCTATCAATTCTGAGATTGAAAGCTAAAGAACCACACAATTTATAGAACCAATTTAGATATGCACTTAATGAGGTCCTTCAAACACACACATTGATATTGCAGGAAAGCAGAAAATGCCATAGGTGGAGGACAGACCTAAAGACACTAGTGAGGACCAAGGCTGGGTAATATTTTTGCAAGGAATATGCATCAGGAAGCACTGATTATTATGGAATTACAGGAAATGGAAATGAGTAGTCACAGGAATGCAAAAAGACTACTCCAATTCCTCTGGTCCAAACAAAATATTCCTCTGGTCCAAACAAAAAATGGCAGAAGGCTATAGTGATAGGCCATCCATATACAATTAAGTGCACCAAGTACATAATGTTGAAAATTACTTCTGATTTTGGAATGAAGCATATGACCAAAACATCTTTAGCTGTCACTGAAGCATTTCTCTATCACAGCAAAATGTCAGTATCATTAGCTGAAACAAGAAGTGATTGAAAAACTTCAAAAGCAGTGTTTATGATGCAGATGAAGTTGTTCACTATAATTTTCCCTTTAACTACTGAAAAGCAAGTCAAGCCTGTACAGATTTGAATTGCTAGCTGAAAAGCAAAGAAGCCATCTATTCTCCTCAAGCACCTATTATAGCTGCAAAGCTTGTGAAATATGAGAGGAAATAATGCATTATGTGTTAGGCAAGAGTCCCTTCAAAAGACAATAGTTCAGAGTTAAAATGTTCTCTCTGGTATTTCAATTTTCTGCAGAAGGGTTGGGTTTGCAGTGTATCACACGGCTTTTCCCCCAGATTCACTATTCTTATCAGTTAAACAAATACTACGAACATTTATTAACAGAATTCCTTCCCAGTTCACCCCATCAGACACTTCAAAGTTTTGCAGGAAGTCAAAACTGGGCTTTCATGTTAAGTCCCTGTTAAAAATCAGTTAACATGCACCTGGACAATAAAAATACAGTGAACAAACTGACATATATTTTTAAAAATAGCTAATATTTGTGTTTAAGATTTAATAATGATTGAAAGACATTTCAGTAATCACTCAGCTGCTGAGTTTTTTTCTATGAGCTGCTTTTCATAGAGAAAGGTCTTTCAAAATCTAGCTAGCATTTGTTCAGTCTTAGTAGGGGGCCCCATATTCTAAACTAAGGTTCAAATATTTTCCATAACTGCAGCCAACCTCATCTCACACAAATGGACTGGTCAGCGCACAAACCTGGACACTAGAATCACTCCTCTCCTATCCCTCGCTATTTTAGTGTGCTCCATGACCTTTAGCTTTGGTTAGCTGAAAGTAAGAGATCTAGTAAAAAGAAGTGCTCATTGAATTTGTTCAGAGAACTTAGATGATACCTAATGTAAGGTACCCATGCATGATGTATCCATTAAACTCAAGCACCCTTAAATCCTTGCTTTGGTGTGCTCTCTTTCCTGATTCAGTACCCAGGCAATTAGTGGGAATCCACTGAACCAGGCAGCTGTGTGGTGAAAAACCTCTACAATACCTGCAGTTTGTTTGTGAATTTAATGATGACCTGAATTTCATGAAGATGAAAATGAAAATCATACACCTGGAACTGAGAAAAATAGCTTTATTCTTCTCCCTGTAAACCCTTTCTCCTTTGTGCTGCATTTTGCAGAGAGTACTTTTGTGAATACTGTCTGTCATTTTTCAGACTAAGCTTTTCTGGGAGTTTTAAAGACTTATCAGGGAGGGACTGAAAGCGCTTTGCAGCTGGGAACAGCAAATCCTCCAGGAATATTATTGTAGGTCTGGGTTCTTCTGTGTCAAGCTTAGGAGTTCTGTAAGTCCCTAGAGAACTGTGCTAGGTATTGCTAGCAGAGTCCCAAAAAGTGAGAAAAAATGCAGCTGATTACCCATATGGCAGCGTGATCCAGTCCATCCGAGGGGGCAGTCACACTGGTAAGGGGCCACACAGCGACCTCCGTTGAGACATGGCAGAATGCATATTGCTAAGGAGAAGAAAAGAGAACCAGAGAAAAGAATTATCTGCCATGAAAACAAAGGGTAGAGTGTGCAAGAGACAAACTTATGTTAAACTAGAAATTCCACTGCCCCTTGAAGTGTTTGCATGGAGTATCAGCAAAGTTGAGCAGGATCTACCCACCAGGCATGAGAAGCAAATATGACTGGCATGGCAGACAGATATGACAAAGAGTAGTGGCAAAGAAATGGACAGGCTGGAGCAATTTCTAGAGTCCTTCAGATGCTTGTAGGCTCTGTGTTCATGGGAAATGAGCCAGGGCTCATTTTGTATCTCACATGCAATATCCACAGATACTGGCCACTTCTGTGATGGTGCTAACAAAACCAGTTCATGTTTTAATTATAAAAAATTGGATTGTTAATGAATTCTCTGGGCTTGCAGATGTAGCATCCAAAACAAGTTACTCTGCCCATAGAAAAGAACTTTGTCTAGGCCAGTGAAAACATGCTGAAACAGGTAAGACTATAAGCCCTTTGGGGAAAGGCAGCTTGGATACAAGGCATTTCAGGTGAAAAATGCTAGGGCTGGAAGCTTTGGGGAAGAAACAAAGCATACACCAAGCAGCTGATGACCTCTGGACAGAGCAACAATCGAGGCACACTGCTCCTGTGAGAAAATCTGCAAAACTCCCATATATTCATGCCTTAAGTATCTTCACAAAACTATCATCTCCACTATGTTAAGTGAACAAAGTACTTGAGTGTACATGCTCTAAGAAGAGCAAGAGTTGAGCTGGGTCTCAAATTTGGGCCCTCAAGTGGCACTTCCAGTTGAGCTCAATACTGGGAGAGTGGATGGGGGCTGCAGAAGATTGAGGTAGGGGTTCTTCTATGGCACAGCAGAAGATGAGCAGGTGCAGTCAGCTTGGATAAGAAAATAATTGTGAACTTCCATGGAACTCACAGAACTAACTTGTATCACCAGGAAATACTTTTCTGTATCATTAAACTTATAGTAGCCTGCAAGTTTTTTTGAATGGTCAGGACTCTCTCAAGAAGATGAATCTTATCCTTTTTGTGAAATGTACTGTGAACTACAAGGTGACTGAATTCTCTCAGTGGCCTTACTGTGGCCTGATACTGACAGATAAGTTCTCAGTGTTAGCACTAAAATATTCCTTGGGCTTCCAGAGAAGGCTCTCAACTTCAAAGACTAAGCCTGTTTTTACTGTTCACTGGTGCACCTTGTTTGAGAGACAATGCAAAATTACTGTTGCACTGGCCAGTTGTGGGAATTATTTTCCCCTCTTCTAACTAACTATGCAAAAATTTTTTAAAAAAATAAAAATGTAGTGCCTGAACGTGCATGAAGTGTGACCTGGTTAGTCAGTTGCCAGTCTGAATTGGGATGATGATTGAAATGGCTGTGATCATAAATGAAATGGCTGGTTCTGGAGAATGCCTCAAGTGTCATTACTGGGGAAACTAATAAACTCAATTGTGGCATGCCAAACACAATTTTGTCAGACACAGGGTGCAATCTTCTCCTGCTGAGACTGTGAGAGTTACAGGGCTAAGCTGCATGTATGGTGTGGTGATACTGCCAGGTACAGGGACAGAAAAAGAGGGGCTGTGTGAAGGTACCACATAGCTGGAGTTTCCATAAATGCAAAAAGACAAAACTTGCTGAACCTCTTGTTGTCATTCTATATCTACCACTAATTTGTGCCATGTGCAACAGACATCGTCACAGAGAAGACTTGAAAGTTGCAGAGATAGATTCAGAGGACCATTTCAACATATGATACCTCTTACTGGAACCATATTCTTTTCCCAGAACTAGATGAGAATGAGCACAATTTTTGTAGGTTTCCATACACAGTCAGAGTCTGGAGCAGTGACTCAGATTCAGGGACAGTGACACCACCCTTGCTGTAAATCTTGGACAGGCTAAAGCCTTACATCAGGGCCACACTGAATACTAAATAGGGGCACTTCCCTTTTCTATACACATAGACCCATGCCTTACTATGTGTACAGTAATACGGTTCCTCGTGCAGAAGCTGTGCCAGCCTGAAAGGGTTACATCTCCCAAAGTTCTCGTGCTAAGACCACCATGAAGAGAAACATGGGTCAAACTGGCATTCCAATGTCACTCAGGGAATCTCTGACGGGGCCAAGAGTCAGATTTGGCTCTTTTCAGTGAGAACAGATCCAGTTCTCTAATAATTTGGAGATCCATTACAGGAAAAGCCAGTCTAGAATTTGTAAGGCACAAGTACACAGGCCAGGAGGGACAGCATGGAAAAGGTGACACATTACATAATTTGAACATGAATTGATGAGGGTCATAACCACAGACTGATAAAATGGAAGCCAAGAAACTAATGCAGCCACCAGCAGAACACTCACGTCTCTTCTGTTCTAATTCCTGCTCATTCTCCAAAACTATCAGGTATTGCTATTAGAAACAGACATTGGGGAACTGAACCAAGATGTTCTTCAACCACTGTGAAAGAGCACCCAGAAACAAAACCACATCAATTTAGAAAGTGCTTGTTTTGCTTTGAGGATGTAAGGGAAAGTTATTTTTCTAGAAACAAGCCAAGTATATACCTTTCTGTTCTCTTTCATTTGTCAAGCAGAATATATTAATGACTTTTATGGTTCTAGCACTTAGCTAAACCATAAAAGCTCTTTAGCTTTTCTGGTTCACTGCAGTAAATTCATTTGTCTTACCTACTACACCCTTATGATTACAGTTAGGGATGATATACATACGCTCTTCGCAGAGACGGCCCATCCAGCCATCTGGACACGAGCAGGCGTTCGGTCGCTCGCAGATGCCACCGTTCTGGCATGGGAACCGACAGACAGCTGGAAACACAATGATTTCATTACAAACTCAGGACAGTGAATTAGAAGCCTAGTAACTCAGCATGTTGCACAGACCATTGCAGCTGTAAGCTTAGAGCAGAACAAACAAATGCAGTGAAGTTCAGAAACATGGCTTGATTTTGATTTCAAGGGCTACATCATCTTATGGCTCTGTATGCTTGATTAGGTACTGTAAGCAAGAGTGGGAATCATTAAGATAATAAAAAAATGTCCATGGAAAGAATGAAAATGTTGACATATATATACTTGAGTAAATTATTTGGATAGAGTTTCAAGGCTGACACTATTTACCTGATTTTCCCACTAACTTTTGTAAAATAAAATGGAAGTACCCATACAATACATCATAGAAACCTATCACGCTCCTCACCCCTTCCCCCAGGCCTTCTAAATTGACTCTGGTATAGAATCAAGTTTTATTCTAACCTTGGTATGAAACACCAAGATAATGCAATCTGGCATAATATACTGTGTGTCTGAAGTAAGATTAACTGCATGATAGAACATGCAATTTTTACTGCACTATCATCCAGCATAATGAGAAGTGACCAAAAAGGGTGTGGCAGTGGCACAGTAAGTGTTCATCTCTGGAACTCAAAGTGTGACTATAAACCTCACCTAGCATTCATGCTGAGTGGTGCTCCTTGGCTTCCACTCCTATGAATAAGCACTTGACAATGAAAGTGAGGAATTTGGAGTGGAATCTGTCATGCTGGGCCAATATGTTGCCTGCACTGGACAGACTTTGGACTTCTTTGTCACTTCTGTGACAGTGTGCCATAATTTGTTGCATCCAGGGAAACCAGGACGACTTTAGAAAATCAGGTGAAAGCTGTGCCCAAACCTGTTATACTTAAAGATTATTGGAGAAAGCACAATCTTTATCACGCTGGTGTACATACTATACAGAGAAAATGAAAAACTGTGGCTTCCATACAATACTACAGAACAAATAAGTAATCAGACTGACAGTAATCTCAGGAAACTCAATCTAAACTGCTAATTGCATCTGAACTGCTATCTTTAATTAGTTATTAAGTGAGCAAAATATGCATTTAAGCTTTGAGTGTTTCAGAGCTTGTTCAATATTAGCATTAAATACAAACAGTGGATTGGCACACTGAAACACTGTTCAGACCTGAAATCCATACTGGAAAGAATGCATATCTTTCCCTCAGAGAGACAAACTTGAGTCATTCCTGGAGCTAAGCCATGCCAAAATGAAAGCTACAGCTTGGAGTCGGTTGAAATGTGGCCAAAGCTCTGCCATTTTATTTTTTAATCTCAAGAGCCTTCCCAACAAGTGTCAGCTGATGAGAATGGGGAGAGATCTCTGAAAGGTTAACATAATTTGCAATATTTTAACAGTGATTTTGAAAATTTTTGTTGTAAAAATATCTATTACTACACAGACAGCTCATCCCTGGGTGTTGACTAAAGCAGGATAGTGTGCCAAACAGGTTTCTTTTCTGCAATGGAAAAAAACATTTAAAGCTTTGTGTGATCAACACCACTTAAACAATACTCCATGAATGTATAATGGGATGTGACATAAAAGATGCATGTATAAATGATATCCCACATTAAATTCAAAGCCCATGAAATAAGGTCTCTGAAATGTATTTGCTCTCTCTGTCAATGTAGATGATAGATGTAGATGTAGATGTAGATGTAGATGTAGATGTAGATGTAGATGTAGATGTAGATGTAGATACTTCACGAGATACAAAAATTTCTTTGGATGGCAACTCCATGTTACTCAGCAATCAGATGTCAGGTAGAGATAGGCTTTTCCTGGGTTTCTGCCCAGGTCCTGGTTGTGAAACTGAATGAGAATGTATCATCCCTAGGTGTGTACTTGTTATACATTAATTTAGGGAAGCAGAGACTACTTGTCTGTAGCTGTAAGAATTATTCTTATCAACAGACAAGACTAGAAAAATGCTCGGGACTGGAAGTTAAGCTGGGATCTCATTTTCTCTCTCTCTCTCATTTTTTTCCCCCCCCTGTTGTAGAATGCAGCCCTGATGTGCTGGGGAGAGAATAGGAATGATCAGTTGTGACTTTAGTTCATGGTAGTAAATCTCACATCCATGGTATCAATCTTTTGACATACCCTTGCAAATTTATCTACACAGGACACAAAAGCATTACACTGTTGCAAGTCAAACATTCCGGAAGGGGAAAAATAAATTCTGTTATCCATTCTCAGCTTTGCAAAAAGCTTCCCTGTGGTTGCAAGTGAACAATTTGCTCAGGTCCCAGCTTCCCTCTCATAACATTCTTGTTTGCTGATGGGGTACAAACTTCCTGGTTGACAGCTCCACATTGACCACTCACAGTCAGCAAGATGTGAAGCGGGCAAACAGACAAGACAGTTTTAGAGCACTTCAGAAAGAAGAAACTGGAGTCAGGTAAGCTGTGTGCATTTGTGCAGCCTAATGAGTCCTGCAGTTATTTACAATCAGCAGATCCATGCTAATACCTCCCACCCCTGAAACTCAGATCAGAATCTGGCCAGCAACCTCTAACCAGTGGTGATTCAGGCAAGTGCAGCTGTGGTGAGAGCTCTTCCAAAGAAGCTAAAGAAGTCTGCATTTTAATTAGAATATTTACATTAATTAACCTGTTCAACCAGGACAGAACGTTTCGAGCAGGCTTAGGACACATTGATAATCAACTCACACAGCCATAAACAAGAAATGCAGCATGAGTCATTACAAAGAGCACTTTCATGTCATTTCTGATGTAGACCACAAAGGCTTGGGTCCTGTAGGACTTTTGTTAGGAAAATCACTCACATGAATTATAAAGCGGTTTTGAAAGATCACTTTGACATATGTCATGAAAATGAAGGACAATCCTCTCAGAAACACCTTTAGTTCTTTTTAAGACCCCTATTAGAAAAAAGGAGGGAAATTGTTATTCCCCTCCCTTAATACACAGGTTGTCCTGCTGTTTTCCACCCCCATCATCTGTCCACCTCTTCACTGCATTTTTTTAAAATAATTTTCCTTAATACTTATTCCTCTGAACAGTTCCAGTAGACACTGCAGTGTTGCAAACAGAACTTTTGACAGTGCTTTGCAGATCAGCCCCTCTTGGTTGCTGGTAACCAGTGGCATAAACCTTCCCTAGCAGGCAATTACATCTCTGCATAAAGTAGAGAGGTTCTTTGTAACTAATTGATATTAAATAAGAATGAAAAGTAAAGCTAGTGATATTAAAGGGACAGTTGAACAATCCTAAGTATTACAATCGGAAGAGATAATATCCAAATAATTTTGCTAATCAATTCTAGCTTAGGTAAAGTAGCTATTAAGCAGAGATCCCTTGAATTCTGTAGCCATCACAGTTTAGAAATACAAACTTTTCAGAAACAGCCTGGTCCTTTGGGAATGCAATTTTTCAACAGGACTTTTGGACACTTCATGACAACTGAGGTAACTCAGATGCTTTCCTTTCAAGTCTTCTCTACTTGGCTGCTTGATGCGTAATTCTTCATGCCAGTGGCAAGCCACGATCACAAACCCAAGACAAACCTGTTTCTCAGGAGAAGCTATTCTATTCCTGAAATATTCAGGAGTCACAAGCCTTCTTCTTTGGTTCTGGCTCTCCTCAAAATGCTCTACTGATCCATGATTTTTAGGCAAGACATTGTAACTATCAGATACAGGAATTTAGGTGAGTGCCTGCTTTCATAGAGTAGGGAAACTGAACTTTCTTAGGTGTCAGCATCCATAATATTTTGCTGTCAGAATTTACACAAATAACCTGATGAGGCGTCCATGATTTGCCAGGCTTAGCACAGTATAGAATCCTCCAATATCCTGAAGCCTCTCAATGGCTTCTGACATAAAGTTTCTGAGGAACCAGTGCTTGTATTTTGATATGGGGAGCTGAGACTTGCAGGAGGAGAGGCAGACCTGACAATTCTGATAATGGCTCCAGTGTTCCCAGGTGAGTGTCCTCAAACTTTTTCTTCTTCTGTGTGAGGAGGACTGTGTGTGACTGGCCATTTTATAGAATAGGGCTTGTGACTGGCCACTGATGTATTGCAAGGTTTTTTCTTTTTTAACAGAATACCTAAAACTCAATTTGTCATAGTGGCTGTTCCACAATCTGAAATAAGACTAGAGGGTGCAGCTAAGTCACTGCTCCACAGCTACCCAGCAGCAGAGGACAAGCCAAGCTTATGAAAGCATGGAAATGGCAGATGGCAAGATCTCTTCCACCAAAGGCCTATGACCTTGAGCTCTTTTGCTATGCCTCATCCATGGCTTTAAGTTAGTATTTGAATATGTTTACATATGTTTTTTATTGTTGAGCTTATAGTCTCTTCAGTTTTTTTATTTATTTCCCCCATTTTCTGTTAAAATCTTTTTATTTATTTGAATCTTCTAAACGGAAGAGTTAACCCTTTGCTTTAAAAGAGTGAATGCTTTAGCTCAACAGACCAAGAAATTACAAATACCTGCTGGCATGCCAAATGTAGAAAGCCTGAACTTTGGTATATTGTTAAATCTATGAATTTTCTAGAATGCTCAGTGTGTATTATTTAGCGAGCTGTACTAATCTACCTCTTACTGCAAATTAATTTTTAGGAGCTGCAACACTTTAAACATAGTGAGGGACTAAGCACCCATTTATTCTATTTTGGTTTCTGCGGTGTTCAGTTTTTGACTGTGAAAACTGACTGGCAATGCTTATCTGAAACATCTCAGCTTGTCAGGGAGATGACTGGTTCTGTCACTTTTTTGCAAAAGATGTCAGGAGGAAAGATCTTAGGTGTGGGATACAACACTGTAGCAAAAGAAACTGTAAGACTAGCAAGGACTAAAAAGAAAAAAATATGGAAGCCTTGTCTTCTACTCTTGGAAATAAAGTAATAATCTGAAATTAAATGCCCTGGGTGAAACTATGACTGCACTAAAACTAGCAAAATTTAACTTTCATTTTTATTGCGCCTAGGATGACATCTCTGTGTTTATGGCAAGTTAAGCTATCATTCTGTTAATAAAAAAGACTTACCTTTGCAGGTAGGTGGTGTTGTCCATGTTCCATTTTCCAAACAAATGCTCCGCAGGGGCCCCTCCAGCACGTACCCACTGTAGCACGAATAGGTGATCATGTCTCCATACTGATAGAAGCTACCACGAATCAGAGCATTCTCCACAGGAGCTGGGGGACCGCAGGATATCTCTAAACAAAAGAAACCATGCAGATGTTGGTGAGCTCCAGAGCCTACATGATTCAGTTTTTAACCCTGGACACAATGCTGTCCAGGGGAGTGCCACAGACACACCTCTGGTGGTAAATCAGCAATGGAGTCCAAAGATCTGGACAAACTTAAGAAGTGGGCTCATGAGAACCCCATGATGTTCAACAAGTCCAAGTGCAAAGTGCTGCACTCAGGGCAACCCCAAACATGAGTACAGACAGGGAGAACCCTGAGGAGAGCTTGGGGGTTCTTTTTGGTGAGAGGCTGGACACGACCCAACAGCTTCATTTTCAGATGCAGCCCCGAAAGGCAACTGTTTCCTGTGCTGCATCAAAGGAAGAGTCACCAGCAGGGTGAGAAAGGGAATTATCTCGCTCTATTCTGCCCTTGTGAGACCCCATCTGGAGTGCTGCATCCATCTCTGGGGTCCTCAGTACAAGAAAGATATTGATCTCTTAGAGTGGGTCCAGAGAAGGGCCACAAAGATGACCAGAGGGATGAAGCATCTCTCCTACCAAGGCAGGCCAAGAGAGCTGGGATTATTCAGCATGGATCCAGGAGAAGGCTTCAGGGAGACCTCATTGCAGCTTCCCAGTTTCTTAAGTGGTCTTATTAAGAGGAGGTAGTGCTTATATGGGAAGATAGAGACAGAACAAGAGGCAATGGTTTTTAACTGAAAGAAGGCAGGTTTAGTTTAGAAAGAAATTCTTTACCCAGAGAGTGATGAGGTGCTGGAACAGGTTGCCCAAGGAAGTCGTGGATGCCCCCATGCTTGTAAGTGTTCAAGGTCAGGTTGGAGGGGACCCTGAATAATTTGATTTAGTGAATGGCATCCCTGCCCATGGCAGAGGGGCTGGAACTAGATGAACTTTAAGGCCCTTTCCAATCCAAGCCATTATGTGATCCCATCAATCTAAACAATAATGCTTGCAAGAAGTGAAAAGGCTTTCTGACATGCTTGCAAAAGAATACTGCCTTCTGTATGTATCAATTAATATAATAAAAGGCAGCACCTCCTCCTACAACTGTTGTCTCATCACCCATAATCTCATGGCAATCATTCTCAGGGCATTTAGGGTACCCAACAACCAATCCCAGCTCCAGGGAATTGCAAAAGGTTAGTTAAGAATACATTTACAGAAGGGCCTGGAAAATAGTAGGATGAATACTGTTGAAGCACCAACCCACAAAGGTGTATTCTGAATACTTTTAAAAGAACAACTCTGTTAGAAAGAAAGAAGACACAGCTCTTCTCTAGAGCTTCTTAGAACCCTCAGGAAAGTACCAATCCCTGCGGAACTGTGTGTCTTGTACTTACTCTCACACTTAGCTGTGGCTGGAGTCCAGGTCTCATCAGCATTACAGGTGATCACAGACTGCCCTTTCAGCTGGTAGCCTTCCCTGCACCTGATGGATACATTCTGGCCAACATGAAAATCCACCTCCGACAGAATGGCATTCTCTGGGATTATGAAAGGTACAGGACAAGGGTTTGCTGTTCAAAGTAAGGGTGTGAGGAAAAAGAAGAAGGGAAGAAAAGGAAGTGGAAGAAAGAGAGACCACTTTAGAATAGTTCCTGAAAATTTGAAACCGAAAACATATGAAAAGCAATAGCCATGAATGCTGCACTTGAGTCCAATTTGTAATTTGATTTGAAATTATGAGATTTGGGTTATAAAATAATAATAAAAAAAAAAGTCTAATTCACTGCTGTTGCATGGCTTGCTATCACGCTCAGCTGATGCTAGGAGAGGACACACTAAGGATTTAAGTGAGAAATATCCTACTTGTTACTATGAAACCATTCTCTCTTGTCCTTCCTGTTTACCATAACCTTTCTATAAAAGAGAAGCAGACCTATCCTACTTCATGATGAGAAGGGCTGGACCAAAAGAGCAGCAAAAAGTGAGATGTTTGATTAGAGACTTACTGTGACATTCATTAGAGTTTAGAATCTCTCTACTTTTATTTATTACTGGCTGTAAGCTTGCTGAGTTCTTTTTTCATGGTCTATTGATCTCATGACCAATGTGGAAAATATTGGCTCTATAAAGAGCAGAGATTTATGTCAGTTTCTTGATACTAAAATAAATAAATACTTTGTGATCCAAAAATTAAACGTCTCAATTAAACAACCTTAAAGTCTAAAAATTAGTTACAGACACATAAAGGAAGGCTATTGTGGGTGTGTGGGCACAGTGCACATGTACATAACATGCTATATCACAGAATTGCAGAAGAATTTATACAGGCATTCAGTCCAACCTGCTTCACCAAGCAGGGCCATCTAGGTCAGAAGTTGCTCTGGAACCCGATCAGAAATTTGTGTTAAATCTGAGTTAATTCTCTGGATGGAGATCTCACGTCCTCTCAGAGTCTCTGTTCCTGTTTGACTCTGTTGATGGTAAAAAGTTTCTTCAAAAATTTCACTGGAGCTTCCTTTATTGCAACTAGTGCCCATTGCCTTTCATTCTGCCACTGTGAAACTCTGAGAACAGTTTGGCACTTTTTCCTTTACACCCTGTCAATATGTCAATTGTAGACATCAATAAAGTCTCCCTTTTGCCTTCTCCTCCAAATGATTCTCTCACCTGCTTCTACTATATATCAAGTGGTTGACTATAGTAACTCCATTTTACGTCATCATTCCAACTAGAGCAAGATATGCAGAAGACAGCTTGTTCTTTTACTGTCACAAAAATACACTCAGAAATTAATGCTTTAACTTGTATCAGTAACTGCTCCTGTTATTTCTCTGCAAAAACTTTTCCATTACAAAGCAAACACACACGTTTACAGAGAGGCAAGGGATTACTCCATCTTCCATCTCTTGTGCACTCTGCTGCTGGTTCTCCTTCCAAGCTGAATCCCTTCTCACAGAGATATGTTACTGTACTGCCAACCGTATTGTTTTCATAAACTGCTTTCCCATTCAGCAAGGAAACTGGAATTTTGCATCTGGTCTCTGCAAAGGAAGGGGTCTTATTAATTCAGCTTGATATTAGTCCTGGTCTTCAAACATTTTGTGAAGCAATAACACAATATGTTTAAAATCACCACAGACTTATAAATCATGAAGAACATTGAGTCAGTAGCTCTGGGAAGGAAAGATAGCTGATTTAGAAAAGAAGATCCTCCCAGTGATGGAGAAAAGCCCCAGCAAATTGTGGAAGTGAGGACACATTCATGACTTCACAATGGGGCCAGTAGGGCAGAAAGATGGAAATCATTCTTTCTTGCCACTGATAGATTCTCCAGAAACCCATGTTACAGATCATCTCTCAAAAGGAACTCAGTCTCTGGATTATATGATTTGCATGCATGAGGGAGGAGCTATCCCAGATTTGAACGTTCCAGGACATGAAACCTGTTACCTTCACACAATGGCAAGGGTTTACTCCAGCTCCCATTGGCAAGACACGTGATATTCTGGGGCCCAACAAGATGGTATCCAGAGCTGCACACAAAGGTTACATTACTTCTGTATGTGCTTCCAGTAGAAATGGCCTCTGCTTTTTCAACGGAGGGATGCAATCCACAAGTAATTTCTAGGAGAGAAGAAAACTTTTGGGTTTTATACGCACAATGAAGACTATTCTTTCTATGAGTCACATACTATTTGATAGCTCTGTTCTCACCCTGAATTAATGGAGAGACAGAAAAAAAGAAGCTGTGGACTGTTACATGTAGAAGAGTTATACAATTCCTTCCCTGCCCTTTCTCCTGGGGTTCACACTGCAGACACCTGAAAATGTGTCCAAATATATTTGGTGGTGTTATAAGATATGAGGTATGTTCAAGCCAAAAGAGGATGCAGGTCTGAGACTGCATTTTCACTCTTCTTTGTGCCCCTACAGTGGAAGATGATCTCAATATGTGCTCAAGAACAATGGCAGTATTTAAGAAGAATCTTGACCCCTGTCCCATACTGTGGAGACCAAGGAAATTCATCAAAGGTGAGAGAGAATAATCCAAGACATACAACTATGACATCAGCAAGAAAAGACGAAAATGATTTACTGGTAAAGGTTTATTGGTAAAATATTGGCATTTTATTTGTAAGCTGCATGAAATAAGTCATAAATCCTTCTTTCTAAGCTGCCTCCATTAGTTATTTCCTTGATAGAAAGCCAAGATTTGATCTAGGGAGCACATCTGTGGTATCCCAGACATACTCAGTGGCCAGGATATACTTGCTTTGGCATGGCAGGGATGAACATTATGTCCAAGGCTCTGCACACCATAATTCAAGGAGGCCACATTCCTACTCTACTGACCTCAGCATGACTCTATGTTTATGCCATTTCAATGTGCCAAAAGGAGATTGCTTCAGATTAGAGAGGTACTGCCAATTAGAACTTCTCTCCTGGCTTTTCCTCTGGCTCCTCCTTTTACAGTCCCTCTGCTGGAGGGAAAGACAGGAAGGAAGCCAGACAAAACAGTCTCCTCCTACCCTAGCTTTCCTGGATATCACATTGCTCTGCTTGCTACTTACGCATGCATGTAGGGGCGGAAGGGCTCCACTTTTTGTCAACGTGGCAAATCCTTCTGCTTGGCCCCTGTAGCTCAAAGCCAGGGTCACAGCTGTAAAAAACTTCACTGCCAAACAGGAACTCCTCTCCCTGAACAGATCCATTTTCTATCATGTCTGGGGGTCCACATGATATTCCTGTAATGTAAGCAATACTTTCCAATTAAAAAAAATGTATATGGCTTGTCCTGTTCATAGCTCCTCCACAGGTTTTACACTGAGAAACAGGAAAGAACACAGCAGTTGTCTGGTCATTGCCAGGAATTTGCCCCTGGGTAGCAGAGCAGAACCATACTTGGTGCTTCTGCTTCCTGCTAGAAGTAAAAAAATCAATTGTGACTGTGCTGGCAAGAAGCCTCAGGAAACTGTTGCCTCTTTCAGCCAACAGCTGAAGCCCACATAAGCATTTATGTAGAAACTCCTATTTCAGCACTGCAGTCAATGACATCCGAGAGAAGTGAAGTACCTTTGAGAATTATATCCATAGAGTTACATTTGAAGATGCTAAATACCTGTGACTCCTGGCAACTGAAGTGTTTAGAGGTCCTCAGTAACCCCAGAACCCATGACCTCAAGTGCCAGAACTATTTAAACCTGGAAGCTCTTTGCAGAGGAGTGAGGCAGACAGGTGTAGAGATTTCCTTCATACTACTAGCTGCACACACCAGCAATTCTGCCCCTCCAGGTTGTTACCAGTGGTACTTACCAAACAATGTTTAGGTAAATGCAGACAGTATGAGTTATAAAACAAAATGAGCATTAGTGATTTCTGTTGTATGATATCACCCCTGACCAAAATTAAGTGATGGACTCAGTTAGAACATACTTCTGCACACTGGCACAGTACCACTCCAAAGCTTGTCTTCTTGGCAAGTCCGTTCTGCATCACCCTGTGAAACAATAGAAAATGCTCAAAGAACAACTTTACTATTAACTATCAATTAATTAACTATTAATTAGTTAACTATTTTCTCCCATCATCTTTAGTGTCCAGCAAGGTGAAGAACCTTTTTCTCCAAGTGCCACCCGTGTAAAGAGAAAATTAAGTGCTACAGCCCAAACCTCCTAGTAGAGCTTATGGTAGAACTTTTTGCAAAATGATGGGTGTTCTTTATAAACCAAAAGATTGTGGGGCTAGTTAGTTAGTTCTCTTGTCCTTATATTCCTGGAGTATCATCTTTTTTGTTAGTTTTATCATTCTTGTTCATAGGAATGTGTTGTAATGACAAATTTTCTCCTTTCAGGACTCATTTGTAGGAAATACAACTAGCAATTTTTTCAACAACAGTACAAGCTTGTGTTTGACAAACATGATGTGCGGATTTAACCACACCTCAAACTCTCATTCTTTATATTTGCCTATAAATTACAGTATTTCTTTCTTACATACAAGTTTCATAGACAGCCTAATAGCCCAGGATTTAATTCTTATTTTATTCTGAGACATGGAGAACAATATTTAATTTTGTCTCTTGCTGTAATTTACTTTCATTAGAAAGCAGACCCATCGATAAAGGGCAGCTGTTGACATGTTGTTGTACAGCATCACACCCAATAAAGTTTGCTTCCCAAAGGAAAAGAGCAGAACTTCTCTTCTACAGCAGGGACACAGTTTGACACTAGGTGGCGAAACTGGATAACAAAGCATGGAGAACTTACTGTATAACAACACTGGTTTATTACTTCCTAAAGTTATTTGAAACAGCAACTCTATCTTTTTGTCTAAATACCAACACCTTCATCCCCAGTGATGCTGCATGTTTGACAACATAATGAAAATTAAAGTCGTTGTTACCTAAGCATTCTCCAAAGTCTTCTTATTTTTATCTTGACTGAGTGACTTAACTTCTGATTGTGTGATTTTATATGCATGAAGTTCTTGATTAACTACTGTGTTACAACAGTACAAAGGAAGTGCAGTCCTGCACTCTTCTGGGCACTCACAAAACCAGCATTAAGAGCCAGCCTCTGTCCTGGAGATACCTCACCACCTCATGTCTCACTCTGTCATCACCTGGGCATAGTGGAGATCATGCTGTGCCTCAGCAACCTAACTCTCATTTCTGAATTCACTGCAGCTTTTGAAAACACCCCAGAGGCAGCTCTGAACTTGCTAACCTGAATCCTGATACTGGGAAAGCAATGCTGTTTCAGAGCTCAGGTGGGGATAAAAGCTGTAATAAAAACAATGGACAGGAAAGAACTTTGATTCCTCCTCCATCAGGGAGTAAAGCTGCCAATGAACAGAGTGGAATACCTTTGATCTATCACTTTAATACCATCTAGCAATGTCACAGAACTGAGGGCTGTGGAGTTTACGGGGACTTTAAGTCTGGAAGGCACAACTCTCAGCACAGAGACATAATGCTTGGGACACTACAAAAGAAAAAAAACCGCAATCTAACTCTGGCTGAAGAACCAGGTCAAGGGAGTGGTACATGGGAATTTAACTCTTCCATTGTGTAGTGCTGTATTTGCAGAGGACTTCAGTTAAGAAAACTCTGCAAAGGAAAACACTGCAAGATACCTGCTGGACATATACCCCTGAACAGGATTCTGCTTCAACTATGCCCTTAAGCCATTCAAAGACTGTCCCAAACATACAATGAACTCTCTACAGACAATAACTAAACCAGCAGACACCAAAATTCTGTGGCATCAGTATGAATAAGACAGTCCCCAGCAATCACACAGGAACTGAAAACGGCAACTAAAAGTTTAGAGTGTTGGAGATTTGAGCTTGCTTACTTGTAATTCATAGCCAGAGTCACATTTATAAAGAGACACATCTTTGTAATTGTATTTAGTGCCAACCACAAATCCATGCTCTGGAGATTCTGGAGTTCCACAGGACACAGGACTGCAGATGTCATCAGAAAATGGTGGCATCCAAACACCATTTTCCTGAAAAATAAATGTAATTAGAAATGTAAAAGCACTGCTTTATATCTGCAATTCATATCTAATTGAAAAAGAAAAATCATAGCAGAAACATCCAGCTGCTGTGGGTGCACAGATATAATAATATCTGTTCAATCCTTTATAAAACATGGTAATTTAAGTAGCATTTTTAAGATGTTAACATAAACTGGAGTTTATCTTTGGCAAGAACACTTAGCTTAAGACTTGATAAACAGAAGCAACAAACAATAAAATGGGGAAAAGAAGTTTGGAAAAGCAAGTTCACTGGTGCAAGGTCACCTAATTGCTCAGGGAACAGATCAAAAGAATGAAAATAAAATCTGCCTGATTTCATGATCTGTATTTCTCTCCTGGCTGAATGTCTAACACCATGACTAAGTGCTTCAGCAGCCTTCCCTGACTCACTATGGGAAGTCTGATACCTGAAGAAACGTTTGTCAAAGACAACTCCTACTTTCACAGATATTTGAAACAGCAAAATGAGGGTGAAACATTTAATAAGAAAGACTTACTCTGCAAACCTACACATGCTCAGCTTTTCTCTTATAAGCATACCTGGTGACTCTAAAAAGTCTATTTATAAACCTAAGATGAGGTTGTCCACAGCTAATGTGACAGGAGGTTATCATTGGACCTGATAAAGATGTTTGTTCTTTAACACTCAGAGGATTCAAGTTTCTACAGTGTACAGTGGATTAAAGTGCCTGCTGCCTGTTATTCTGGAGAAAAAGCTCTGCATGCAATCCTCAAAATATGTTAGAAATCTTGGACATAATTTTTTTAAATCTTAGACATGACTTAATGCCTGGTATGTGATAAAATGAATGCTTTTCTAAAGGACAGTCTTAGCTTTTGATGGAAGAAGAAATGAAATATTTATAGTTCTGAAAGTCTATACATGGAAAACAAATAATTATTCTTATTGGGAAACAACTAAACATACTATATGCAGATTGCATATACTATACTATATTGCAGAATATGCTTTGAATTTTTTTGTTGTGTCCAGTTAAGGGCCAAAAGGTAAGGAAGGTATGGGAAGGTCCTGAATTCAAGAAGGTCAGCAGAATAAAACAGTGCTAGTAAAACTATACCTTGCATGTAGATGTGCTTGCTCCCACCAGAGTGTAGCCCTCTACACATGACAAAGTGATGCTTGTGTTCACAGTGAAGTTGTTCCCAAGTGCGATTACATTAGTGATATTTCCTGGAAGGGGACACTTTCTGGGGCAACAGGAAATACTTTGAGGGGACCATTGTCCATCTTCCTTGCAAGTGCATACATCCACTTCTGTTGCCATTGTGTAGCCTTCCAGACATCTGCAACACAGCATGAAGACCTGATCACAGAGACACAGCTAGGAATGAGCTAACCCATAGATTAAAAAGTCAGAACAGTAATTTTTCAGCATTAGTTGTTAATAAGTACATCTTGAGAATTCTCTGTTGTTTCAAGGTAAGCCCGCAAGAAGTATGTCTGGACTGAATTCATTCTATTGCAAGAGCTGGAGACTTCAGACCTCATTTCCAGTTGTTTCAAGATGCTGCAGTATCACAGCAGAAAACAAGTTGGTGGCTTTATTACTCAGAGAGTACTGGCAGTCCTAGTGCAGTTCCTACACTGCCTATCTCTTTGCTAGGAGGGCCCTTGGTGAGGTAAAGAGAGTATCTGAGCAATTCTAAAGATGACCTCACTTTCTTCCAAACCTTAGCCTGACCACAGACCATTTGCTTAGACATTTGAGGCTGACTCAATGGTGCTTTACCAAGAACAACTCAATGGCTTGCACCAGTGGGTTTGCTTGTAGAATGGCAAGAAAAGTACTGCCTTCACCTTGTTAAAGTTGCATGGGAATGACTGATACTATTTAATGCAACCACCTGCTGTTTCTGTCTCAGTTCTGTCCCACATCATTATTTGCTTTTACTGTCAAAAATAGGTCTTTTGCAAAGGCTTTCTTCATCTTGGAGAAATAAATCTGCAGTGTATACACTTTAGGAAATTAACAAAAAACCTAAGTTTCTCATATCTGACAAAGGAATAACTTGCTCCAGTGCTTCAGACAGCACAGTGCTGCAGTGCAGAAAATGGGACAAGAGAGGGATATCAGCCCTTTTGTATTAATTACAACAGGCACCTGAAGCAGAAGGAAAGTATAAATGCAATGCCAAGAGCAGAGAAGCTGCACACCCTGCTGACTAGTTGCTGTCACTTAACAAAACCTGTACGTTGAAATCAGTGGCTCAGAGGAGGAGAATAACAAACCAAATGGAAATGGGAAACTAAAGTCAGTGGAGGCATCTGTCCAACAGGCTGAAATGCCTTTCTAGAGTTTTCATGAGTGGTCAAAATAATATTTTATAAAGTGCATGTCAGTGTGGGTTTTGTCAATCTGAGTATGTATAAACTTGCACTAACTGAGGGTACATAAACCTTCCATCTTCATTCCTTCAGGGGCTTTAATGAAAACAGAATCACAGCATCATCCTTACCTGTACTGGACCTTACTTCCATAGGTGTAAGTGTTCCCAAGAACCTCTGCATTTGGGACAGATGGTGGTGGGCCACAGCTTAAGAGCTCACAGCTCGGGTATGGCTTCTTCCACACACCAGTCTCCACACAAGTCAGTTCTGGAGCTCCCTTCATGACAAAACCTGTCAAGCAGGTATAGATGATTGTGTTCTCATCTTCAGAGCTGCTCCCATTGATAAATGTGTTTGGGATGATGGGTGGAGCACCACAGGAAACCTGTCCGCAGCGAGGAAACCCAGAACTCCATTTGCCAGCTGCCTCACAGGTGACCTCAGAAGGCCCCAGCAGTTTGAAACCCTCCAGGCATTGAAACTGGACACTTATCCCACAGTTGAAATCTGTACCAAGAACGACTCCATTCTGAATCTGTGGTGTAGGACACAGACATGGTAGGCAAGACGGAAGCCTTCCACTCCAGGAGCCATTGGACAGGCATTGCCGTAAGGGATTGCCATGCAGCTCATAACCACGGAAGCATATGTATTGGACAAATTCCCCGTAAGTAAAGGCTGAGCCATTCAGAAAGCCATGGGAGATGTCTTCAGGGGGTCCACAAAAGACTGGCTCACAGTGTGGAGCTTCTGAGTCCCAGGTACCATCACTCTGACAGGTAAGCGTGGATGGTCCTTGCAGGCTATAACCGTCATTGCAGTGATAGTGCACTTCTTTATTAAAGCTGAAATCTGAGCCAGTAGTTCTCCCATTGGGAAGAGGCAGTGGCACAGGACAGGTCACAGCTTTGCAGACTGGAGTGATTCCACTCCAGCTTCCATTTGCAAGGCAGACTCTACTCTGATCCCCATCTAACAGGAAACCCTCGTTGCAGCTGTACTCTGTCTGTCTCTGGAACGTGTAGTCCTCTCCAGTTACCTGACCGTTCTCCAAAACTGGTGGTGGGCTGCAGGACACAGGAATGCAGATTGGCTCACTGCCATCCCATTTCTGGCTCTCTTGGCATCTCCTCTCTGAGGGGCCATTTAACTGGTAACCAGGATCACACTCATAGTGGACAACACTCCCATACGTGTAGTTTTCCCCTCTTATCTTCCCATTCAAAAGGCGGGTGGGTGAATTGCACATTATTGCTTTGCAGTAAGGAGCAGTGTGACTCCACTGCCGACTCGGCAAACACAGCCGTGTGTCAGAGCCAACCAGAGTGAATCCTGGCCTGCAGGTGTACCGCACTGCGCTCCCGAGCGTGTTCTCTGTGACGTGCAAAAACCCGTTCTCTGGGGGGGATGGCAAGGTGCACTCTATCGAAACACAGGCAGGGGCAGTGCCGTTCCAAGCCCCGTCTTCTTGGCAAGCTAGAAGAGGGTTTCCCAGCAGCTCGTAGCCGGAGTAACAGGTGTATAAGATGACAGTTCCAAATAAGAAAGTGGTGAGCTGCATTGCACTGTCCTCCTTCAAGGAACTTTTGAAGTCTTTCATGTTGTCAGCCAGCAACATATGTGAAAGGGAGGGATTCTCCGTAACACCCTCCTGGTCAGAACGCCTTTCCCCATGTCCCAGCTGCAGGTACTCTCCGAAGTCAATGTGAGGAGGCAGGCCACAGTCTGTCGGAAGGCAGGTTGGTGTGGAGCTAGACCACCCCGATTCCTCACAGGTCTGCATGGCAAGGCCTGACAGCTGGAAGCCTGGCACACAGCTGTAAATGACCATGGCCCCGTAGCTATAATCTGCACCCTCCACAAAGCCATTCTCAATGGGCTGAGGAGGCTGGCAATTTATGGCCTTGCAAGAGGGAACCTCTGTACTCCACTCTCCAGTTTCCAGGCACCTCAGTGTTTCCTCCCCTTGGAGCTGGAAGCCTCTGTCACAGAAATACCTGACTGTCTGCCCATAATGGAAACTTGTGAATGAGTATTTGCCATTGGGGATCTTCTTAGGCCTTGGGCACTGAATAGGTTTGCAAACCGGCCTTCCCCCAAGCCACTGTCCATCTTCTCCACAGAGGACAGTTGTGTTCCCTAGCAGTTCGAAACCTGGTTTACATGTATAGAGGGCTGTGCTGAGGAAGGTGAGGCCCTGCACATCCACTATGCCATTCTGAATTTCTTCTGGTTGAGGACACTCCACGGGAATACATTCTGGCAAAGGCAAGCTCCATGAACCATCAGCCTGGCATCTGATGGTGGGCTCACCCTTCAGCAGAAACCCATCCACGCAGATGTATTTCACAGTGCTGCCAAAATGAAGGGATGAACTCAAGGGGTCCCCAAAGGGGATATAGGGAGGTGCAGAACACTGTACAACCTTGCAGAAGGGAAAGGAATCATTCCACTGCTGGGAGGGCAAGCATTTCAGTACAGAGGAGCCATGCAAAACATAACCCTCCTTGCAGGAGAACTGTACAACACCGACTTGGTAAGACACTTCTCTCAAGACCAGCTGATTTTCTGCCAGGGGTGGCTCTGGACATTTTGTTGGCACACATTTGGGGCTTTGCTTTTTGCTCCATTTCCCAGACTTTTGGCAGGTCCATGAAACATCTCCAATCAGCTCATAGCCTTCATCACAGAAGAACTCAACTTTGGAGCCCATATCAAAAGTTTCTCCTTTGGAGAAGCCATGCTGGATGGATGGTGGTTTTCCACAGCTGAGGGGAGCACAGTAAGGAGGTGATTCACTGTACCATTGCCGATTTGCTTGGCAGGTAAACACTGGGCTCCCGACCATCTGGTAACCAGAGTCACACTGATAATTTGCCTGATTTTCAAAGAAGTGTCCGGTGGTTTCCTGGAAAACAGATAAGACAGAGACATGTCTCAAATGAAGATGCATGATTTGGGCAATTGGAGACTGATTTAATTTCTTGTGTTCTCCTGGTCTGGCTTCTAGCTGAATCCCTGTCAGGGATGAAGGCAAGTAACTGGCACAAAATATCTTGCCTCAAATGATGCACTCTGTTTTCAGGAAATCAGAGATCACTTCTGAAAGAAAATAGAAAATTCAAGGCTTAAAAAGTAAAAGCTAGAAAAGAATTCCTCTGCTTTCTCCCTTCCTGACCCATGAGACCAAAATAGAAGGAAAGGAAAATGGAAAAGACATGGAAGCTGACATCAAATGACCTATTGTTGTCACAATTCTTTAGCTTCTAGGTATATCTAAGGTTGGAGCCCTCAAATCTACTGCTACTAGGAGACATTTAAAAATGCCACACATGCAGTGGCAAGGCCTTGAGCAGGCAGCTGGGGAGCACCTCAAAGTTGCAGTCTGGTCTTTGACTGAGGTATTAAAAAAATTCTCCAACTGTAAGCAATATATGAGCAATATAGGAGTGACCCTACCTAAGAAAGACAGAACAGAGTGATATGCATTAATTAGAAGATGCATCTGGTTGGGATTCTGAACAGAAATTGTTACTATTACTGCAGGAAACCCATGTAGGAACTGGAATGTCAACCTCCACCCTCCAAATTTAGAAAATGCAGATTTCCTGGTATCTGATATCTCTGATATCTTAAATCCCTGGATTTAAGGAAGGAACAGGGATGTTCAGAAGAAAAATGTTTTGAAAATCCAATGTTAAATTTTTATAATAGTGCTTTTTCTCCTCCTTGCCACAGTATTATCCTTGAGCACCAAAACAAAACACATTGTTGCAATTTAACTTGATAAGAAAAGGGAAACTCTGACTTCAGTATGGGGATGTTTGCTTCCAAAACATCAAACAAAGAAAAATTATCCCAAGGTGATTTATCTATTGCATATCAGATTTTTTTTCATAGCAGTGAGAAAAGCAAGGCTTGTGAACTGACAGTGAATCAGTAGTTCAAACATCTCCAGAAGGCACAGAACGCTACCCAAGAACCAAACAAAAGAAGATACTAAAGAAATCAATTGAAGGTCATACGGCATCTTGAGTCTCCTAACTGATAACCCACTTTATGATAGGAAATCCCATGGAAATATTAATGCTATTCAGATATGATTCTGCTGCAAATCCTCCCACTTTTCCCTTTCCTTATTCTAGCCAATCATGTACTTCCTCAATTTTAACGGAAGAGCAAAACAGAAGAAAGAAAACCCTCACAGCAACAGTTGTAAAGATATATTGAATTCACCAGGGTACCAGGCAGAGAGAAAACTCATTCTGTACCTTAATAAAGCCATTCTCAAGCTGTGGTGGTTCTCCACAGGACACTGGGTGGCATGTGGGCAGACTGCCACTCCAGTTGCCAGTGGCCTCACAGGTCCGCTTCTTCTCTCCCTTGATGTAGAAGCCCTTGTTGCAGCTGTAAGCCACCACTGCTCCAAAGCTGTAGTTGGACCCACTGGCATAGCCATTGCTAATGTGGGGAGGCTCTCCGCAGCGAACAGGGATGCACTGGATGCTCAGAGGAGAAGGATTCCACTGGCCCCCTCGAAGGCATTCGATCTTGGCCGAAGTGTTCAGAACAAAGCCTTCCATGCACTTGAAGCTCACGACAGAGCCAGCTGCAAACTTGGCTTTACTAATGGACTCCAGGATGCTGTATGAGACGGTGGATGGCTTTTCACAGAAATCAGCTATGCAGTGGGGCATGTCCCTGCCCTCTGGAGGCACCCACTTCCCTTTTGCATTGCAAAGCAGCTGAGAGTTATCAGCCAGGCTGTAACCATCCAAGCAGAAGTAATAAGCTATATCACCAAAGAGGCGGTGGCCACTCTCTGGTGATGCATTTTCCACATGGGGTGGCTCATCACAGGACACTGCCAGGCACTGCTGGTGGCTCACACTCCACTTGCCGCTGGCTAAGCACTCTATGGTTTCAGGGCCAACTAATGTGTAACTGTGGATAAGGAAAACACAAAGGAAGTCAAAAAGACAAGCACTGTCAAACTCTACCTAAGGTTTACTGAAGCCCTTGCAGTATGAGCCTGTTTGCTAGAACTCCAGAAGAACAGGATCCTTTAAAAAAAAACTGTGATCAACTTCAAAAGGAAAATCTTAAAACCTACCTGGTGAGGTATCACAGTGGTGGGCATCCTAGCACACCTTGTGCATATTGCCTCTCTGTCCATCCAATAACCATTTCTGAACTTCCATTTTGGCTCAAACTACTACAACAAACCTAGTGTCATCGTAGTACACTATGATGTTCCATGCAATCCTCAAGGAAATGATCCCACTCAGAAACTATTTCTGTTTAGCAAAACTGATTGGAAAAGAAAGAGATGAAAAGCCCAGGAAGGCCTTTTGTGTTTCTGTAGTAGCCTTATCAATCCATTTTCACACTTGCAAGCAAAGTGAAACCTCTGAGTTACCCAGAGATGCTCTTACCAATAACGCATATAGCAATTTTAAAATAACTTCTTCCTAAAAACTCACTGTTAAAAAATATTAGAAAACCAATAAAAAAATTAATGCTGCCTGGAAAAAACCCAGTGAAAAGGTTTACAATAAAATTCTACCACATGAATACTCTCAGTGTAGCTGTAGTTCTCCAGTCTGTCTCTGGGATGCATGGTCAGGCATTAATCCATGCAGCTCATCCTCCCACTTAAACCCCTGCTGCTTAAATATGCAACAGGCAATAGTCTATTCACAGTACTTTTGACTGTTTTCTTAATTTTTTCCTCTGTGGTGAGCTCTCACAAAAAGCAAAGAAGAAGTAACTACTGCAAAGACTCCAGTGACTTTCTAACTGCAGGCTATGCAGATTTTGAAGCAACATCTGTAAAACTGTTTTGTCTTGTTTGCAGGATTTGTTTTCAAGGCCTCAGACTGGACCCCAGAAAAAGAGCCTATTAGGTGCCCATGTTTAACATGATCCACTGTCACAGACAGTTAAATGTTGCTATCCTATCCTATCCAAAATGCTCACACAGGAAGGAGAAACAACTTTTAAAATCATAATAACATCTAGAAAACATAATAAGGATGCTTTGCTTCAATTATATTTCAAATAACACTGCAAACCCAATTTATAAGAAAAATACTGGCTTGTCAATTTACCTTTTCACACCAAGAAAAAACAGAAAATCCTCCAGCCACTTTGGACCTAAGCTGGCAAAAGCTCTGCCTACCCACTCTGCCTTTTACACAGAACAGTTCCAATAAATTTTATGGAACTGCTCACAGGCTGTAAAGATTACCATGCACAAAGGTTCTTGCAGGATCAGAGTCCAGCATTATACTTTCATGCTTGATATCATCAAAACTGAGCCTCCACTTCGATGAAACAGTCTGAAATGTTTTCTACACAGAGTAGATAATAATAAATTTAAAATAATGTATGTCAATTAACGAAGAGTCTTACTTTTAAGGAAATAGAATTTAGAACACCATAATAGACAGTTGTTAAACTGCACCAAGAGCATTCTTATACCCTGATGAGCCATAAAGAATTTTCTATGATCAGAGCCTTGAGTTTAACACAGAAGTACTGGCTCTGTAGTAACTCCAAGGAAAAGGGTTTCCTATTGAATTGTGCTACCATTCCCCCTGATTCCTCTCTATTCTTCTCTTCCTGAGCGTGTTCAGTTCCCCTGAAACTACTTCAAGAAATATTTGTGTCTCATACTAACCTGACAACCCACAAAAAAATTTCCATTGCATTTAACTTCCAAAAAGTTAAGACAGTAGTGAAAATGAATTAGTGTGCAGTTACAAAGGACTTGTGAAACAGTGCACCAGCTTTACTCAACCTGAATGTAAATCCAGTAGTGCTAATCTACATACCCTTCCTTACACGTGTAAGAGACTGTGTTTCCAAAAGTAAAGTTATCTCCACTGATGAGTGCATCTTTGATGGCAGGAGGGGATCCACAAGACACAACGTTGCAAGCTGGTGGTGTGCTGTTCCAGTTCCCTGAAGATGCACAGATGAGTACAGAAGGTCCCTGAAGGCTGAGACACAAAGATCATTATTAAGGCTGCCATTTCATTCCAGGTGAAGGATGGAGAGTGAAAGAGCTGCTTTGCTTTCTGGCCCCAGTGAAGCTAAGGAATCTTTCTCACCGAGTTCAGTAGAGGCCAGAATCTCACCCTTTGTTCATGGAAAAATACTCTGATACTATCAAAAAAAGCTGGTCTTCACATCACTTTGATGAGCAAACTGGTGGATTTCATGTGGAGCCTTAATGCTCTGCACAGACACACACAATTTCTGCTGTAGCTTTGCCCATCTTTGGGCACAAAAGAAATAAATATTTGTTTAAGCTTAAAAATTTACTTGTATGCCATCAACAACATGCCAGTCTTGAGACTTGCAACTGGCCTCTGCCTGAGACCGGATTCACTCAAGGACTATCTTCACCCAGGACACTGATGGAAATGGTCTAGTTCAAGTTTGCTCACTAAAAGGCATTCAGTTCCTCCAGGAGGTAAAGGATTTTGCGTTAGTGAATGGCCACACACATTTGAAGTCAATGGTAGTTTTCAGTTTACATAGCTGAGGAAACAAGATTTGTTCAGATGGTGTGACTTGGATATCTGAACAGAGAGTGCAACACCTCCCTGAGATGCCCTGGGTGAAACCCCTTGTCTCCAGCTGCGATCTCAGCTATCTGTGGGTTCCCTGTAGGGCTTACATTGTATCTGAGAGCCCTACACAGGAGTGTCTGATTCCCTACAATTTGGGCTCAAATGGTATTAGACCCCCATGTTTAGCTGACTGAAATAAGTTAATGGAAAAGAACACTGACCTGTAATGCTTTTACAAATTTGGCACAGGGCCTTGTCAGGAAAGTAGGGCTTTGCCTACCTGTGGCAATATGTTTAAGACTAAAAACACCTAAGAAGTGCTTGAAGGAGGAGACTGGGTCCAGGAATAAAGCATAATATGGACACTTTGAGGGGGCTTCCTCTGGAGTGGTAACCACAGGAGAGAGGATATCACTCACCAAGCTATGGTAGACAGGTAAAGACAAAGAGTCAGAACTGATGTGGTATTTGCTGCCTATATGTCCAAAAGTCCACGGTCAAAAAACTCATAGATATTGGTAAAACCACTGCCTGATTTAGTGGGGTACAGATAAGCCCACAATGTGAATCTGTGACTTAACACTGAACTGCATCTGAGGTGTCCATCTGTAGTAACATAATTAAAACATTCAACACATGAACATACCTCACCTACCTGCCTGCATCTGGACAAGGAAATGATTGCAGCAGGAAAATGTAGAAAAAAATCATCCCTAAACAGGTCCATATGGGACCACTTATGTCAGAGTATATCTGCTAGAGGTACAAGCAGATATCAGGGAGGCAGAAACCTTCATGTACAGCTACATCCTTGGATATAGCATTAATGTGTTAATTTTTAATAGCAGCATGTTAAAAATGTGTTTGCAGTATAATTGCTTACAAATGTAAAACAGAACAAAGCCTTAGAGTAAATTAGTAGTACAAAGAGTTCAAGGAGTAAATTATTAACTTCCAGTAAGTTCCTTCACAAAAGGTGCTGTAAAGTAATAGCAAAAACAACATGAACTGCAGTTGTAGAGGTATAATGATCTTTAAAGACAAATGAGAACTTTCAGAAATAATGAAAACTATTTTTCTGAATATCCAAAATATTTTTATAAGTTTGATGGTAAAATGAAATCATTACATACATATATAGTAAATCCTGAGTGACTTTTCTGAATAGCTCCAGTTCAGGATAAAATACAGAAAGTACCCTCAAGGTGTAAAGAAGTCTTTTGCAATTTTGTTTTAGTATTTTATCATTCTGAGCAATGATCCCAGCTTTGTCAGATATAAGTCAGACCTGACAAGCTTGCCACCTGCATTTGGCATTTACCTATATCCATTGTCACAGCTGTATGATACAGAAGAAAGGTAGGCTGTGCCACTGAGTGTGTATTTTCCATTGCTGATGTCCTGTGGGCTAGGGCATGTCACCATTTCACAGGAGGGAGGACCATGATTCCAAATGCCACTAGCAAGGCACAGAATTTCCTTTTCACCCACTAAGTTGTATCCATCATTGCATCTGCATTAGAAGAAAAGAAGTGCTGTCAAACACAGAGCCCTTCACACACAACATAATCAGCCATCCCTTTTTTCTCATCATCCACACCTGCATAAACCATCTTTCTTTTTGGGGAATAGTGAAATAGTACTGGAGAAAACATTCAGCTCTGCTATTTAACAGCCACTCTATAACCAAATGTCTTTCCATTATTTTAATCCCATCTTGCTCCTCTCCTTCATTTCAACCAATCTCTCAATTCAGCCATACTCTTATTTGCGGCCAGATTGTCAATCAGTTATTAATACAGCACTTCAAACATACTGAATTCCTACCTGTACACCACCTTATTATGGTATGTAAAATTTGAGCCAAAAATGGCACTGTTCTCTGGAATAACTGGAGCACCACAGGATATAGCTTTAAAAAGACAGGAATACAAGAGAGGTTGATATAACACAAACAAAAATGAACAGAAAATTAGGATTTGCTTTGTTTTCTCTGAAAAGATTTGAAGAAGTATAAAGCCCTATGTAACAATGAGTTATTGACTAATCTGTAAATGACATTTAGAACTCTTTATCTGAATTCACCTTACTGAGAAACTGAGCTATTGGAAGTAGGTACTTATAACCACTCTACAAACCACATTCTATCAAGAGGAGTCTATATCTACCTGTCTCTGTGGACAAAGTAATTGTTTTTTTGCTCAGACAATCTTTGTCAACTCTTCACCTATTGCTTCACCTCATTTGTTCTGGTTTTCTAAAGGAACAATTTCTGCTATTATATCATGACTATGTGTACGTGCATCAGCCTGTCCTTTCTGGTTGCTTTTAATCCACCGAGACACAGCCAATGCTCTTTAAGTCATTAATTCCTTGAAAATGGAAGGCTGGGTGGAGAAGCATTAGAAGAACATTTCTAGTGCTTGCATTAGACTGAGTCAATACCTCTGACGCACTGGATAATCTGTGTAAGAGAGTACCACTGCAAATATGACAACTGTGCTTACGTCTTAAGAAAACAAAGACTTCAACACTGAGATCCATATCTGCTAGGACAGGGTTTCATAAGCTGCCATGGTCTCTAAAGGCTCTTCACTGTTACTTTGCCCCTTCCATCTCTCTAATGTTAAAGTCACATTTCAGCATGCATTCTCCCCAGGAACCACACCTTCACAGTAGGGCATTGGGTGGCTCCACTCTCCGGACTCCATGCAAGTAAGTTTCATTTCTCCTGTCAGCTGGAACCCTTCTTCGCAGGAAAATGTTACTTGACTGCCAACACTGTAAGTATCCCCATATACATGGCCATGCTCTGGATTTCCCGGATTATGGCATTTCACGGGTTCTGAGGAGGAAGAGGGAAACTACGAATAATATAATTAAATGTCAGGTTTTATGAAAAAGTTGCAGGAGATGTCCTTGGAAGCTTGCTGAAAGTAGGAAGGCAAAGCACATGGAAAACACTCATAAGTAGTTTACAGTCTTTTCCGTTTTATATGTAAGTGACAGACACTGAAGACTCATGCAAGTAAGCTAATCTTGACATGGAAGAGCCCTCTGTAACTGAGTTTACATTCATTGTCAGAAGTAAACACATCTTACAGTCATTTCTCCCCCTGTGAGGGAAAGCTCATTCCAGCATGTCCATCCCTGAACATGAAAACAGCCCAGCTACCATTTATCCCAACCTATGCCACTGTCTTGTCATCTTCCTCCAAAGTTACCTTGTTTAATGTTTCCACAGGCAGCTCTAGCCCCACTAAGAAGCCTGTTTTAAAATATTTCCTCACTGCACAGCTCTGCTCTGAGAAATGAAACACTGTGACCTTCCAAGGTCTTGTGCTCCATGTGCAATTAGATTTTTGCATGTGTGTATGTCTTGGAGCAGCATCCCAATGACAGCTGTACCTATATGGAGAGGTGAGTTTTCAACACTCCAAAGGAGACACTTTATCACAGCCTCATCCAGACTAAGCTGACCTGGAGATGAAAGCATGCCTGTCCTAGATATCAATTACTGTCTGGCAACTGGAAGGCAGGATACTGGCCTATAAAGGATCCTGGAAAGGCTAGCCAGATGTTTTTCTTTCCCATACCTGCACATTTTTTACCATCTCCTGTGTAAGGAGGGATGCAAGTGCAAACATAGGATCCATTTGTATTGAGACAAGATGCGTGCCCATCACAGTCTGATCCAACAGCGCATTCATCAACATCTGCAAAAAACAAAACAAACCCACAAAACCCATGTCTCTACTGTGTTATTTGTAGCAAGCATTTGCTTTAAGTTTCTGTCTTACTGTCAAGAGGAATTACTTTAACTAGCATAATTAAAAATCCCTTACTGCAATCACATTTTTATCCACTGGTAAAAATACCTAATATTTTAACAAATATTTATAACTCACTGTAAAGTTTTATTTTAATTTTAATTATAATTTACTCGACAGTATTGCACAACCTGAGAAAACCAGAGATAAATATTATTAACTTTCAGAAACTACTTCCACATAAAAGTATCTGGTTTCCAAACTGCAAAACACATATTTTAATTATTGTTACTACTGGGCAGACACTCTGAGGAAGGATTTTTGCATTAAACTCTTGTTGGGAAATAGTCTATATCTCAACCTTTCTACTTATAAGACAGGAAAACAATCAAGAAGGCAAATACCCTGAAAATATTAGAACCCCGTCTTTGATGAAGAGAATTAGACTAGGCCCAAGAATACCCTGCAGTTGCCAGAAAAGTTAAAATTAATTCAAAGTATATTAATAATTATAATTAACTATTTATATGATAGTAGCACCTAAAAATCCCTATTGATAATTTATGATCAATGTAGTTTGATGCTATGGAGCAAAAAAATAAAAAATCCCTCATTCATCCATTTTATGAAGAATACTTCATAAAATCTTTTAATCTTGACAGTAAGGAAACATCCTTGGTATGAAAACAATGAGCCAAAATTGCAGAGTCAGTTTCAAAGTATCTAATTGAAAAGTTCTGGTATCAGGGATTATTCTCAGGAATTATTTTATCTATATAAATGTGCTTGTTAAGAGAGAGGTAGAACAATTCTTCATCTAAATGCCCTGCTACAGGACACTTGTTGATCTAGGTATATCATGCAGACACACATTTTGAGTTCTTTGCCCATTTCCAGTAAAAAAGCAGTGATTAAAAAAGCAAGACATTTTACAGAATTGGAGGGTTTATTTTTCACTGCTGAATGAGTTTGATCAGCATGAAAAGACCACAACACATTGAAAAGAAAAGGAGTTTATTTCTGATATGCAGCATGACAGCTGCGCATCAATGCCAAAACAATTGCCAGTTACTCAAGTACCAGGAGAATGCAAAGTGCTACCACAACAGAACTGGAATGACTGCTTCTTCTGTAATGTCCTGTTAGGCAAGGGAGTTCCAATGGGGTGGAAATACACTTGAATCAGACCCTAAGAGAACAAAAGGAATGCTTCAGGGCATAGGTGTACCTGGTTTTGTTAGTACCTCCCTGAAGCATGAGTCAGAAAGGTAAATAGTGGGTCAGGGTGCCAAATCCACTCTTGTTTTAATTTTCCCATCACTCTGCTTTATGAGAGACTATGCAAGCTGGAAGGTGGAGCACAAGCTTTTTCCTTCTGAACATTGTGACTCCTACTGCATAGAAGCTGAACTATTTGGACAGCCTTGAAACACTGGTGCTGATATTTGTAGATTCTGAAGGAGTGCTGCTGGACAGGATCACATGAAACTGGATGGATCCTACTCCAAAGTGAATTTTGAGAGAACTAAATGACTTTTGGCTTTTCTTTTGCTTGTCTTGACTGAAAAAAAATTATGTGCTATACCTACAAAGTGTTAGGAGTCAAATCAAACGCAAATCTTGCCAGTTTTTTACTGTGCAACTCACATTTGAGGAATGGCTAAGATCCAGTACAACTGGATGCAGAGATCCAAGTACAGCCAGGTAGCGGATTCCAGCAGGGAATCTCCAGCTGGAGACATGGCCCTGCAAGACCAGTGGCACCTAGTCCTCTGTACACAGTACAATGCCAGCCTGACACACCTTTCAGCTCGTGCCACTGCACCTGGCACATCAGACCCAGGTGAGCAGCAAGTAAGTTACAGTGCAGCAACTGTATGAACTGAGTCCACAAGGGCACTCCCAGCCCTCTGAATGCTGCAGCTGCTTGCTGGCAGCCGTGTGTGACTCACCAAAAAACTCCCACAATGGAAAAAAGGCTCAGAGAACACCGGCAGAGGTGATCTGCCCATTAAGCTTAGGGACTAAGGAGACAGTAAGGTGGCCTTTCTTTTAGGTAGACATCAATTAACAGTTGAGTGGATCAATTGGCAGTGTAAATGCTTCTCCTTGAGTTCATTTAAGAGTGTGAATGTGTTCCTGAGTTAGCCAGACCGGCATGGAGGAGTGGAAATGAATACGTGGTTAACATGAGATATAAATGCCAGCCAACTACCAATGGACTTGAGCTGTCCTGAACCCACACATTCATTCTCAGCTACTGGGGATGTGCAAGGCCACTATGGTGAACATATTATGGAGTTTGATAATGGGAAACACACTGGAATTGTGCCTAAACTGTGTATTAAAATTGCTGTATTATGTTAAGTAACTTGAATTTGTTTCTCTTGTGCTATGCAGTATATATTGTATCACTCTGCTGGATCAGAAATCCTGTGCAGCCTCTACTGTCTTCAAGTGAGTAAATGTGGCTACGATGTCTTTGTGTGAAATATCTAAAATAATGTTGTTGGAGAGCATGGGACACTGACAGCATGCTGTAGAACAACAAAATGCACAGGTCAAATGCACAGAATGCAAGGATTGCAGGACATGGAAGAAGAAAGGCTGGGAGAGGGATGCAAACACATAATTTTATATATGTTTGATAAATGCAGGATGTGGGGCATACAAAAGGTTGGACAGAAAAAGGTGACAGAATGTATTTTTTGTTTCACATAAGGCTGACCATGGTGTTAGGGATTAGGTGTCCTTTTTTTTGCTCTGGCTTGCCTGTGGAATTTTTACCCATGGCATTTCAGAAAAGTGAATATTTTGGATTATGACTCTGGGACTGTGGTTAGCACCCACAATTTCAGCCTGAATGTCCACTCAAACCTAAGGGCACAGGAGAAGTGTAAGATTGTCAGTGCATGCAGTCTATGGCACATCTTACCAAGGCAAGATGGGGAAATGCTGTTCCAGCTTCCATTGTCCAGGCAGAGCATCCTGGAGTCACCCAACAAATAGTAGCCACTGTTACAGTGATAGGTAACAGTACTGCCAGCAAAAAAGTCCTCAGCTGAATAAAATCCATTTTCTAAAGTTGGAGGCACTCCACAGCTGATTCCTGCAACATGGGTGAAAAGAGGGCACAGGCATTAGCAGAGTAAACACAGATCATCTTCAGAATAATTCCGCATGAGAGCCACTACTGCATCTTTTGTCTCTGCAGCTGTATACAATCCCATTAGCAAGAGGGCCCAGTCCATTTCTGAAGTAGCTAATCAATTCTGGGTCTAGTGGAGGGTCTTGTTTTCTGGATATTTCTCAGTAACAGTCTAAGCAGGACTCTCCAGCTTCTGCTAAGAAAATTTTGCTAGCTCTGGAGGAGACATCTGTGGCTGAGATCTGAGTAAATGCCCTTCAGTCACAGAACACTTTGATAAGAAATGGTCCTTGCTGAATTATAAAGTTTGCCTTGCTGGAGGTTGTTATTTCCCTTTGCTGAAAAGCAAGCTCAGTATTGTTTAACACTGCAAAAGTAGCCAACAGAGACTGCTAAGAGTTACAGCACTGGCCTGAGACAAGGGAGTGCATGAAAGATGCAGAGATTGGAACTGACCTCACATACAACCCTGGGCATCTCTTGGATTGACTACAATAAATAAACTCATCTGATCCCAGTTGTGCCAGCAGAAGGCATCCCTGTACCTGCCTACCAGGGGTTTTTATTTATTCTAGCAGAGTTGCTTCTGTGCATCTTTATCTCACTCAAAAAAGACTTGAACTTATTCCAACAGCTACACAGCTCACCTTTGTAGCTTACATGGGTTATAGCAAGTCCTGGTCCCCTAGCTGTGTGCAAGGATTGCACAACAAGAATTTAAAGCCTGTAATAATGGAAGCCAAGTACTCGCTGTAAAGGAATAGAGCTGGAGAGCCTCTAATGAAGACAAGCTCTCAGGCATCTGTGGCTTTGGGGGTATTTAGCACCAGGAAGAGGAAAAGTATCCTGGTGGGTGAAGACAGTGATTACTAACATAATTCTGGTGGTTTGTTAGTGATCACACACCAAGAAATTGCAAAGCTGTCTCTGCCAGTGAACTTTCCTTCTGCCCAGCAGGACTTGCTTTTGGGTAAACCCTCACGGACATGCTGTTCTGTACACAGAAGATGAGATGGACTTTTGCTAAAAACAACTGAATGAAGAGGAAGGCATTAAAATCTAGATAAAACTATTTTAAAGGTATTTATAACAAATTAGATTATCTTCTCCAAACTACATATAAATTCTAGGATTGTGCAATATCTACTTCTGGACCTAATTTACTATTCTGCTGAAATGAAAATGTAATCAGCTCCAACACAAGCAACTGCTGTCCTATGTGCAGCTGCAACAGAGGAGGACCAAAGGAAAGGAGAAAGCAGGAGCAGGAATCATAGATTCAAAAGAAACTTGGCAGCCTGAATGCATACAGCTCAGAGTCTTTGAAGAAATCCTGTAAGTCTTGGAGCACTTCCAAGTCCTAGCAGAAATATCTGCTTCCTTTAAAGAAATTATTTCATAACTTATTCAAGTCTAGGCTTCTACTTCAAACCAGACATTCTCAGTGACATCTAAAAATCACAGAGATATTGTAGCATTTCCTGTGCATCTTCCACACTCCTGATGCCATTGGGGAGGAAAGTACCAGATTGCTGATTCAAATGGACCACTTTCTCTAACACCCACGGGTGTTAGAAACTGACTGAAAAACATGTAATAACCTGATCATGATACAGTTTCTGCTCAGCAAAACATGAATTTAGTTTTAAGCATATATGTAACATGGTGCTGTAACATGGATGGATTAAAGTGCATGAGAGTTGCAAAAAAAACCCAGGCCATGAATAGTGACAGAATCCCAATAAACACTTGGGTTTCCTAATCCTGCCAGCCCACTGAGACAACTCACTTTCACAGCGGGGAAAAGGCCGGGTCCACTGTCCCAGGTTAAGGCAGTGTTGAACAGAGTTTCCCACTATCTGGAATCCTGGGTCACAGGAAAGGCTCACTTTTGACCCTGGCTTTACATCAGCAGAAGAGGCCCTCAGATGAGGTATGGATCCTTGCAAAGATGGACAATCTGTGGACAAAACATATGCATACAGTAAGAAGTACAGTTATGTGCTGAAATGAATAAATTGGTTATGTGATTGTTTGAACCCATATAAGTTTATCCAGGAAAAAGCTTTCAGAAATGTTATGCATGCTACATCCCATTTGGGCCCAAAGGGTTTTGAGAATCATCAACATATAAAAACAGAAAAGGAATCTACAGAAAAAGAAGCAAGGAGGCAGCAGGTATTTGAATACCATACAAGTATTCTTAGAATAGAAGAATATTTGTTTTTGTTTTTTTTTTTTTTTTTTTTTTTGATCCAGTACTATCTTCACTCTTTTGCCATCTCAATTCAGGAAGCAATAAATTTTTGTCAGAGATTTCAATGAACTTTTGTTACAAAACCCTGGAATTTGAAGAATGAAGGACTGCATGTTCTAACTGCCAAATTATCAAAATAATTTATTCAAGGTTAGTAGCGCAAAGGTTGAAAGCTAGCTAGTTGACTCCATAAAAGAGTCTTACAGTATTGTTCAGAAAAAAAAAATGGGTTCTAGGAAGTAAAGTTCTAACCAGCACAAAATATACTCTTGTAATCTATCTTCACTCTTCCAACAACTCCTGGCAGGAAATCTGGCCAGGCTAGTACATTTCCTTTTTGCAGTTCTTCTGGACAGGATGTAGCCAGAGATTCTACCTATAGATTTAAAACAGTTGGTTAGGTGATGTTTAAGGACAGTGTAGGAAAAGAATATTAAAAAAAAAAAATATTCCCTTCATGCATGCATGCAACACTAGTACATGATCCTTGAGGGAGTAATGCTCATCCTTTCTAGCACAAGAGGTTCCTGGCTGAAGTACTTATTATTCTGCTCTTATACACCGTCTAGCTATGGACAGTTCGTGCTGAGTCACTACCTGAAGGACAACTTGACATACAAACAAGGTATTGAACACAGTTCTTGAGACACAATTGCATTTGTGAGTGTACAAGAAAAACACATCTACGTCACAGAAAAAGACGGTAATGAGGATGCAATCTGAAGAGAACACTTATCTATTTGCAGAAAATGTCAAATAGGAGCCAAAAGGAACTTAATGTTAAAGATCTGTATTCTGAAAACTGCTAGCACTGCACCACATATAAGGGACAGAAACACAAAAAGAAGCTATTACTTCTAGGCAATTAGTTGTTTCCAGAACACAAGTTTTATGAACTGAATAAACTAGAATCTCTAAAACACTGTAGGCAAGGCCCAATTAGGCAGGACAGGGACATAACTAATGGAGTATAGAAACAGGAGCCATATAGGCCAGCTAAGCACAGGAGGAACAAAGGAACACACTATTAGACCAAGAGCAGGTTAGTATCTTGAGAGAAGATCAGGTCATATGTCTCTGATAGAAAAGTTTGCTCAGATAGGTGATTGCCTTCTGTCACGTTTACAGTGGGTGAAGTCAACTACCAAGAATAATGTTCTACTGTGTCTATCCTTGTAGGAAGGAAAGGTACATCATGAACTTCAGAGTGATTTGTTCTCATATTGCCCCTGCTCTGAACTCATAGAGGCAGATTGGACTTTTCTAGAGCCAGTACAGCTGGAGAAGAAACTGAAGTTCTCTGTTTATTCTGAGGCCATTTCAAAGTTCTCATTTCTGCAGCCTGTGCCAATGGAAACTGCTTAGACCAAAGGCTGCAAACAAATTGCAAGGAATCTGCATGAAAGTATTTCCAGTGTGGGAAAAAGAAGTTTGGGAATCAGCCTTTTCAAGCCATATGATGGAGACTGGAGGGCCAGAAAAGACCACATATTCCCTAATCATATTTCTGTTGCCATCTATTCAACAACAAAACTACCAGAATGATAATTTACCTGTATCAAATTAATGTGCAAGTGAATAAGCAACTAAAGCATGCAATGAAAAATCTTAAAGACTAGATTCCACCTTCCTTTATTCACTAGGTGACATATTCTGTCATGCTGCTTTCCTTTAGGGCTGAGAATAGAAAGGTAAGACTTAATGAATAGTTCCAGCTGGCCAGAACAAACCTAATGATAATGGATTACAATAGCACTTCCAATCTCTGAAATGAATGAGGTAAAAATTGTATAGGAAGCTTACTTGGCTCAGCTTCCTGTCTGGGGTCACATCTGTCTTTTCAGATGAGTAATATGGATACTATAAATGAATGGCAGGATTTTCTTCCTTGTCCTACCTCTATTGCATCTGAAGCAAGTGGGAATTCAATCAGATCTGTCATTAAAGAGGGGCAACTACTGATAAAGTTTCAGAAAGTTGCACCTAAAACTTCACCAGTATGCCCTGTAAAATCACAGGTACACTTATCAGCTTCAAAACTGCTAGTGAAGAAAAACTTGACGATCTGATTTGGCAGTGCAACAGTTGGTGACCCTAAAAGCCAAGAACCGTAGCAGATGGTTGGGTAGCTTTAAACCTATCAGAGAAGTAAAGTAGTAAAAAACCAGAGAAATAAACAGAGGAGATGTTTGGATGCTGGAAGCAAAGGTTCTGCTTTACCTTTTTTTTTGTTCATGTTATTATTTCTTATTTGGATCATGGATAACAAACAGCTATGAATCACCAATTAGTGACACAACTTTAAGAAAAATCAGAAGAGCAAAACCTTCTAATCCAAAGATTTTCTCCCAGAGAAATACCTCTAACTTCAAACATTTTTATTTGTTGTTCAAGTGTTATCAACAGTTTAACACTTCTGACCTTCGGGACTGAAAAACTAAGGTGCAGGAAGTGGTAATGGAGCACTGTCATCACATTTGCAGATAATATCAAGCTGGTGATAGTATCACCAGCCAGTGTGCTCAAGGACAGAGTTGCATCCATAGGCACCTTGACAGGCTGGAGTAAAGGGCCAACCCAGACTTCAAAAAATCAAGAAGGAAAAGTGAGAAGGAAAAAACTTCTGGACAATATAGGTGAGGAAAGCCAAGAGCAGGAGCAGCTCTGTGGAAAAGAACTTAGGTACTCTGGCAGCTAGTGACATGAATACTGGCCAGCTGTGCACTGAGCAAATAGTGAGGACCAGCAGCATCCTTGGCAGTGTGAATAGGGTTACCATCAGAAAACCAAGTGATTATTCCTTTTCAGTGCTTATTAGATCACATCTGGTGTACTGCATTCCATTTCAGATTATTCACAGCAAGAAAGACATTGACAAGCTGGAGCAGGTTCAGGGATGGGATGGGATGGATTTGCCCTGGGAGGAGAGCTTGGTTCAGCATAGAGCAGAAACAGCTATGGGGACACCTCTCAGCAGCCCTGTGTGTATGGGGAGATGATCAGGTACACAGAGTCAGGCTTGTACAGCAGCACATGGTGGAAGACACACAACTAGTAGTCATAAATGGAAGTGGGGGGTCCCAACTAGGCACACAGAAACAAATTCCAGTCTGGGGATAACTGAGCACTGAAGCTGGTCTCTGAGAAAAGTTGATGGAACACTGTCCTTGCAGACATCTTTCAATCTTTATTAATTTTTAACTCAATGGAAGTTTGGTGCTGCCAAGCTTTTATTTTAGGTACCTGATTAGGTGTAACTCAGCATTCAGTTATCCAGCCCTTTCAGACTTTTTCTGAAACTATATAGCTCACATTTTTCAGTGTCTAATGCATTGACAGAAATTCTGATGTCTCCTCTCTGAAGTTTTAACAGCAGAATGAGGAAACTGTGGTAGTGTTGTAAAGCAAGCACTTAGCTTGTTTCATTGTATTTCTGTCTCTTGTAGCAGTACTGTTCATTTTAATGCATGATTTCCTTTCTGTTTCAAAGCCACACACTACAGAAAGGCTCAATCAAAATAGAAGGTGACTCAGTGTTGATTTCACCAGACTTAGTTTTGCTTAAAGCTACTTTACTAACTACACTAAGCTTATTATCCTAAGCCAGAGCTCCACCTGGTCCCCACTGACTTCTGTGGGAGTAGGGGTCTACCCAATATGCTAACCTAGAATGCCTTCTCAAATGTTCATCCTATGTTCAGAGCCCTCTGCTCTAACACTGCATTAAGGACTTACCTGCTGTGGAGAAAGTACATGATCCCAAATGTTAAGCTGGCTGATGGAGCCCACAAAAGATTCAGCTGGGTTGAATCCTTCTCCTTTTTGATCTTGCTCTTGACCCAGCACAAGTGCACCACCACCTAAACTCAGAATTTGAAGAAGGGTAAGAAACAAAGCCTTAGAGCAGGGATCCCATAAGAAGATCAAAAACTAAGCAAAACAAAAATTTTGCTGCCCTGTGTTACCAGGATTTTGCAGTGAAGGCCAGTCACCTTCAACAAACTCTCTCAGCAAAACCTCTGGGAATGTTATGTTAGACTGAGTTAGGTGAACATAGCAATTTGGAAGTGACTGTCAAATACATATGGGAGCAGAAATCACCTATGGCTGCTTCAGGAATGATACTGGCTCAAAGAGATCACTTGTAGGTCCATATTTAAAGCATAAAAGACAGCAATGTAAAATGAAGTTTTGAGCAGGTGGAGCATATTTTACAATACTAACCTACACTTCCTGCTTTAAACAAAAGCTTACAAAGTCCTACAGGTCAAATGTGATCCCATACCCTCAGAAGCACACTGAGGGCACTCAATGCTCTGAGACATGGCACACAAGTTAAGTTTATTCTCCTTGACCAGTAACATGTGAACATGCATTTTCTGCATCATAGGGTATGTGGACAAGGTCAACAGGTAATGGAGATAGCACATTTCCACATGTCTTATCTCTAGAGAAAACTCCAATTTAAGTGGGAAAGACAGGGGAAAGCATAAGGATCATGGACTAAAAATGCTTCAACACTGTATTTTTTATTTTAATAAAATAGTCTTTTGAAATTCTGTGCAAATTGGGATGGTGGCAGTATGTAAACAGTATCAAAACAAAACCTCTTTGCAGCCAAGTAATACGAGGCTTTTCATAGCTCTTCAATCCTGAAGATAGTCCTTTTTATGCCCTCTGATATTACTCTATAGATGACTGATCACAGAAAACAATGAAATAACAAACCCCACCTTGCTAGGAAAGAATACAAACATTACATCAAATATATGACTGAAAAGAACAGGAAAAGGCTTTTTGTTGAGTGAGACCCTTACTCTCACAAAGCCATCCCAGAACCAACTCTGCACAGGTTCCTTTGTGGACTAAACTGTGTTGTCCATAAAACAAGTTACCTACCAATATACCCTAGAAATGTGCATTTTGTCTTCAGTGATGCTGAGTGAGGGGAGCTGCCCTCACAACAAGGAACAGCAAACATGAGCTTTTCAGAAATGCTGAAAACCTGAATTTATATTCTAAAAACACCTAAATATTCTGCAATATAAACAGAATGAAGGCAACAGATGTGGTATAATATAAATAAAGCATACCAGGGATTTTTGATCCAACAGAAAGCCCGCTGCCTCCATCGGACAGTTTTCCGTCGATGTACACCTTCCATGCCCCATCTGTGCACGTCCATGTCACGGCGATGTGATGCCAGTTACCATCGTTCACTGAGGGACAGTCTGTTATCTTCTCCTTCCCATTCACATAAAGCACCCAGCTGCATGGGAGGAAGACACAGGCATACTCAGCTGCTTGAAGCTACTTTAAAAGCATGGTCTGTCCCCCATGACTCAAAGATATGTGATTTGACTAACAAGGTAACTGTATCACATGAGAAATCTGTCCTGAAAGATCATCCTACATGATATCTTTCTCCCAGAGGACTTGGAAGTTGGTTATCACATGCAAAACATTGTGAAATAAGCAACATGTTTTTGTAACAAAATATTAAGGATCAAGTCATGACTGCATAGTGAATTCTTAAATTTACCTGCTGAGTTAGGAGTCAGACTACAAATCATACTCTGCTTTAGTAAAAGTGCAAGTCATACTCTGTTTTAAAATCATGCCAGAAGTACTCTGAGTGCTGAGTTCCATTTGTTACACTCATTGTCTCAATGAGCCATTTAGAAAAGATGTGAATGTAGTCCAGAAAAAAAATCATGTTGTCTAAATTCACTGCTCTCTTGCCATTACTCTTCTACAGAACAAAAAGTGATGGAAACAAAGCACGGAGAAAAACAAAACAAAGAGACAACTCTGTCAGGGGACAGATTTTTCTACCCCAAAGCAGGCAAAGCTTATATTTAAACTTCTGTTCTACACTTCCTTTATCAATCCAAGACATCTGTAAACTATAGAAAAGCAAAACTGTGATTTACCCATTGTAATCAGTCAGAAGAAATGCATTATCACTTCCATTCTCTACTGCATAAGAAATGGGAGTCCCGTAGTTTGTGGTATCAGTGGATCTCATCCAGAATGTACAGGTGATGTCACCAAGAGATGGTAAAACACCATCAAGCATGACGTATCCATAGATACCAGAGACTTCAAAATCAAGATTGAAACCAGAGGACTGTTCTGCAACAAAGACAAAGAGTTTTCAGAACAATATTCCACAAACATGGAAAGAGAATCCAATGAAATCTAAGTGAATGCAATGAAGTGGAATGCAGCCCATCTACAAATATTGTTCACTAAACGGAATAGGGGTTGAAAGAACTTTTGGCAGTCTAACATCAGCCAGAATATAGAGCTTTCCAAGGCTAGAATACATTCTTTGAAACAAATATCTGAAAAAGACGTTGGTTTATCTAGCAATGAACATGAACCTTTCTTCTCTACCCTCTATCACTGAAATGACATATCCGTCTACCATCCAACAACATAAAGATCTGGTTATAATCAGATAGTTCCATTTAATCAAGCTTTGAAGAAAATCCCCAAAACAACTCAAGATTTATACCGTCCTGGACTTACTGAAATACACTGCCCTGACATGGGACAGCACTTCTGTGCTGCTGTTCAATGGACAGTGACATACTTTACAAGGATGCTACATGCAATGTTATCAAGTGGAGCTCTCCTGAAAGGTGGGTGTTAAATTCTGACATAGGATGGCAGGTATAAATGTACGGCATGTCTTCTGTCTTTGTGAAATCAGCATGGCTTCTGATTACCATTCAAATTACTTTATGATTTCAGGGGAGAGGGATTTGAGCATTGTGGCTCAAATGTCTCCAGTGTCCCCCTGGATGATGTGCTTTGGGTGTGACCCACACCACCTGACCATAGCAAACTTGATACCCTTCTGCCTGTAGGGAACTTGGACTTCTAAAGCTGAGACCACCTCTTACTAATCTCTAACCCTGTAATGCAAAGCCCTACACAAAATACAATAAACAGAAAGATCTACTTAGATACACAGGGCAAATGGAAATTAAATTCAATAGACCTACTGGATATTAAAAAGATAAAATCATGCCTTAGAAAAGAGAAATGACAGAGACACACACTGTTACTTGTCTGCAATTACACTTATTAATCTTGCAGTAACACAGGTTTCACTCATCCTCTCACAGTCCCACCACCCTAGCTACTTTCTGGGGAAGCTGTATGAAATCAGCCCAGCCAGTGCACATTTTGCACAGAGACTTAGTCAAGCCACCTTTTTCTGAAACTTAGTCCTGTGTACCTGTTTCACACCTGCTGCCTGTAAAGCCAGGGGGACATTTACAAACGTACGAGTTCAAGGCATCCACACAGGTGGCTTGGTTTAAGCAGGGACTGGAGTCACAGTCATTGATGTTCACTTCACAGTTCAGTCCTGTGTACCCTGTCACACACAGACACCTACAGAGGAAAAGAAACACACTTCAAAGGTGACAGCCATCATAACAATTCTGGCTATGAGGCCAGATCAGCCAATGAGAACAGTATATAATAATGCTGAAGAAATCAACAGATGATATGCTACAGAATTAATGGAGTTTTATTTTGTTTTATCCCTCTTAAGCATGCTTGTATTCTATTAGCTGCATAATATCACTTCTAGGCAGGGACAATACAATATTTAAACTGCCTGCATCTCTTTATATGAAACTGTGAGACATAACCTTTGCACTGTCATGAGTAAAGCATACTTCTTACCTACACAGAATTAAAGATGAGAGGTATTCAACTTTTCAGACACCTTCACATATAAGGAAAACCAAGCCAGTACAGATGCCAAAACCTCTGATACTTGGAAAACCAAGGTGCTTGAAAGGCACCAAAACTTCTGGGGCTTTTGGGAGGGAAAGACTTACTAAACACAGATGTTAAAAGCTGGCCCATCTACCTATACAGTTATCTAGGATATGACACTTCTACTGGCATTTGTAGCTTCTGATCTGAGTTCAGATACCCTAAATCATAAAATTAAATAGCTAGAAGTTTACACTGGGTTTTGTATTTTAACATTTTTAGGCTCAATAGGTACAGCTATCTCCATCTTTCCAAGCTATAGAAATGTAGTATTACCAGGTACATAATTGGTCATTGTGTATTATTCCAGTGGAAAGCAAGATAAGCCCCTGAAATTTGGGAAAATGGGCATCTTCTGGAATATCAGTATTAAAACCATGCAGTCCTACCATGCTTACATTTCAAACCCTGCATATTTCCTTTGCTGTTTTCCTTGGAATTTCTTAAGAGTCAAGTCAAGGATATATATTCTTGTCTTTTAAGATCTCCTTTAGTGTGCATAAAGGGACCACTTATTTTGGATCAGGCTGCCAAAATATGCTTTCTGAAACCGAAGAAGGCTGAGGCACCTCAACATATCTGACTTTCCACATTATGTTACATTAATCATCTGTTTTTCACCTGAAGCTGTTGATACCATCTCTGCATGTAGCTCCATTCCTACAGGGTCTGCTGAGACACTCATCAATGTTTCTTTCACACAAGACACCAGTAAAACCTGGGAGACATTTGCAGGAGAAACTTCCAACTCGATCTTCACAAACAGCCCTATTAAGACATGGGTTTGAAAGGCATTCATTCATCTCCCTTTCACAGTGATCACCTGAGAATAAAAAAACCAAAACAACAAAGTAACAGCTCTAGATTGAATTAACCTAAGAGAGAAGATTATTAACCCATCTCTGTTTTTTAAAGGATGTAGCTGACCTTCTGAGAAAAAACAAACATCAGAGTAGCCATGCAGATTTGGAATTCTCTCCATTAACACAGGTTAAGTAAACACAGAAGCATTATGGGAACCATCTTAACAGTTACAGAAATAACATGTAGCAAACTGTTGAATTTAAATATGACTAATTTGGAGTGAACCAGGAAATCACCTGAGAAACTATTCTGAGCAACTGATGAAAAGCTACTATAAAAGACACTTGGCTGAAACTCTAACTCTAGGGAGAGAGGTGAAAGCCAGAAACACATGATTCTGTGATTTATGAGGTGAAAGAGGCCCTACATCACAAGCACTGAAACTGCATGTAATTTTATAGTGGAACTCTTTGGCAACATATAATCAAAAAATACGTGTATTTGTTACAGAAACCTGCAAAAGCAGAGTATGGGATTGGGGAGTAGTTTTAATATGGACCATTTTATCTACTGTTAAAATATTTTTATTTTAAAATAAAATTAAAGATATCTATTTGAACCCATTAGAATGTCATTATTTCCTCCTTAATGTCACAGAGCGAGTTCATGGCAAAATTAGTGATTGAAGATCTAGCACTTAGTAAATCCTTCTGAAGTCATGTTAACACCGCAGAGAGTCTGACAATTTGGCTGGACCTAAGGGACATCCATAACTTACATCCATATCAACATGTGACTTATTATATACAGTGCTATATAGCAGTGAGATGGAAATACTTTAGGTATATAATAATTAGGGTAGGAGGACACATTTTTTTGGTCAGAAAGAGTAAAGACTGACTTAAAGAGAACAAGCTGTACCTGTGAACCCTTTTGCACACGTGCAGTGGTAGCCATTCTTGCCATCAACACAGTGGGCTCCATTCAAACATGGACTGGAGCTACATTCATTTATGTCTTCCTCGCACAAGAGACCTTTGAACAGCAAGGTACAAGTACATAGTGCAAGGCATGATCAAGACATGGTCACAGACTGTATGCAGCAGGGACTGGGTGTGGACAGAGAAGCAATAACCCTACTTCGAGCCTGACAAAAGGTTACTGAGAGCAGGTGACAAAATTACTTGATTGACTGCACTATGGCAACAGCTACAGAGATCATCTGTGTTATTTAGATGCTGAACTCAAGATGAAAAGTGTATCTTTAAAATGTTTAAAAATACATCCACCTAATGCTGCTGTAAATAAATGTGCCGTCATAAACATGAACAATCAGAGAGACCATTTCTAATGGAAAACACAAAGCTTTTTTTTGATTACAGAAAATTATCTCCTCAGTAGTTTATTTCCATATTTAGAAATCAGGTGCTGTTTTGGCCAGCTGTTCAAATATGTTAGTTTCTCTGCAGATTGCAATACCTTCAATGTGCATACACGTGACAGTTAAAAACACAGAGAAAAAAATATAAGCAAAAGCCCACTCACTTATTCATAGGATTGAAGTAAAACAACCACATAAATGCTGTGTCTAGTTGGGCAGTCAGTCACACAAGCACTTTCCCTGTTAATATTTGCTAGTTCCCTAAATCTTATTCCTGTTTTCAGACCAGAGAAGGATACATGCATACACACAGAAACACACACTCTCATACCCTGTCCTTGGAGGCTTGTCCTTTTATTTCAAAACCTATTCACATATAGTAGAACCTGACTCTAACCTGTAGATCATATTGTTTTCCTATTATAACTGGTAGTGGAATTACACAGTGCCTGCGCTTTGTGTTACTTACTTGGCACAGAAACCAAGCCTGTCTGAAGAAAAGCTATGAGGTGAAACAAAATACCTGAATAGCCTGGTTGACAGTGGCAAACAAAGGTCCCAATGCCATCTTTGCATATCCCATTGTTTTGACAAGGAGATGATTTACACTCATCAACTTGTGTTTCACATTTCAAGCCTAGAATGCAAAATAGAGGACTGAGAACAGGAAGATAAAATGTAAAATTGTTCAGAAAAATGGATGCTGTGACTACCTAATGTAAGAAAATATGATTAATTGCCTTCATTAGCAGATATTCAGGTGTATTATCTTTCCATGAGATTGCACTTTAATACAGAGTTGAGACAAATGTTAGAAAGATGCGATACACATTGGGCAACAGACTGATCAGCTTCAGAGAGTGGTAATCAAAAGTAACTTCTTGATAACAGTTGAATTATAAGACATCTCTTTGATTTGAAGCAACTGGGCAGCTAACACTGAAGACAAGTACAGGCTCCATAAAGGTGGAATTAGCTGTCAAGACTGGAAATTTCTAGCTTTTGTTAATCAAAAACATTGCCAAGTGATAGGATTTTCACATCCACAAATTCCATTAAAAGAAATCCCATTCAAAACCTTTTCTGCAAAACACAACATAATTCAGTTAGGACATGAGGAAGTACCTATATTCTTATATATTCTAAATATGTGATGAACATTCCAATTAGTTAGGCTATACCGAAATGCTTTGCTTCTTTATACTTCCTGCTTTTAAGGGCACCATGAAGTACTAGCTACTTCACCTACTTCCCAGTTTTTTACCTGTATATCCAAGCGGGCATATGCAAATATATCCACTTCCCAATTGCTTGCATGTCCCATTATTGTGGCATGGTTCCAGAAAACACTCATGAAAGACCTGCCAAAGGCACAAATGATACAGCAAAACTGGCACACAATACTCTAGTTTTAAACTGTATACCCCATTAGTCACTTTGGAAAGATGGGATAAAAAAGTCACCAACATTAGCTTCTAGTTCCTCTTCTGTCTTCTCAGCATGCTAACCACTTGTGGTTTTTTCCTACTGAAAAATACCACAAATTTTAAAATTACCTTTTGCTTAGCAAAATCTCCTCAAAACTGTCTGAGCTATGATTCACAGGTTATATTAAGCCATATTTATGTTCAAGTCCTCCACTTTGCATTCCCCTATATCAGCTAATCACTTCCTGCTACTGGCCATCAGGTGACCTGGCAGGGAGATTCACCATGTGGCATTATTTCTCCTGTTCTTGCAAACCTGAATTCATCAGGTAAATGGTTTACATTTTACATTTTTACATTTACGCCTTGAGTAAATGGTCAGCTAAAACCATATCAATTTGTCACCTGTTATATGATGGTTCACGCCAAATTTGTCATGAGTCATCTTTGCTCCTGTTTACACAATATCCCAAATTCCAATTCAGTCAAAGCAGTCTTGTCAAGAGTTACAGACTGGGGGTGAGGGGTAAGGAGGCATCTCCAGCAAACACTGTCACTAGACTAGTTTTACACGAGGACTTGCTTGTATTTCAGAGAGGTTACTCACAACAGAAGGGAGCTTGCCTCCTCTCAAATGTACCTGTGTTACAATATGTAAACTCAGATTTTACATCTGAGACTTAAACGTCTGGTAGCATTTTCTGGAACTCAGCATATGGAAGATCTCAGATGACTGAACAAAGTCACTATACTTTTTCTAGATTGTCTGAATCTCTTCCATGCAGTTTAGTTTTCTTTTACAAATGTAATAAGTATTTCATACATCAGGTGAAGGCTTGAAAACCAGAATTTAAGATTAACAGCAGACGCACTTCCTCTGTTCAATGGAAGTGCTTCTATGATTACAAAGAGAGCTTGAGTGTTCCTCTCTTAACCATCGCTTTCATTTCTTCAGGAAATAAAGTCAGCAAAAGAATTACAGTTAAAAAGGTCTTGTTTACTGCTGCATGAAGTGCTTTTTCTTTCATTTGAGATAACACTGGAAAATAACACTTGTTCTTACCTGGCTGCTGACTTTGTACCGCTTGCTGATATTTTCCGGGAAGGCTGGTACCATCATAATACTTTCTTCAGCTGCTGAAAAAGTAGAGCCAAAACCTAAAGAGTAAAGATATGAAAGTACTGTTAACAACACTGTATAGCAAGGCCTCTATTCTATGAGGGCATTATAACTGCATGTTAGTAATGCACCTAAATATATACTGAAATGAGTGAACTTGTGGGAATAAAAAGCAAACTTTACAGTATGCATTACAAAAGTAAGAAATTGTAAGGACATACATGTGCGTACCAATAAAAATATTTTATGTTTTTATATACAAATATATGCATATACATATTAGCGTATATTTATATATGTTTCTCTCTATGGCATATGTTTTAGTACACATGGGCAACGTGCACACACACTGCTTATGTATACTCTGTTTATTGAGCCTTGGCATGTATCAGAGTTAGTCTTAAAAACAGGCAACACCAGTAGGCAGAACCAGCTGAGAACTTTGCTGCTTAGAATTGAAGTCCCACATTTGTCCAGAGATTAAGTGGGATGCTTTTTGTTAAGACTACTTCTGGCTGTCCTTTTGATGTTTCCCTTGCTCACTTTATCTAGCAGAGATAATTTGGCTTACTTGAACAGTCTGTGATGGATCTGGCACCGATAACAGTTGTTGTTCCATAGAAGGGACAAGACAAGCAGTAGGACTTCCCTGGGTCTGGTTGATAGTAGTCTCTGGGACAAGGGTAGCAGGGTGCCAAACCTGTGCGAGAGAACTCGCCTGCAAGACATGGTACTGCAAGATGAAAAAAATATTTTTGAGTGACCTGATCTTTGCACATCCACCTTACTTCCCTCCACCTCTTTTTTATCACTTTCTCTTCTCCTGTCATAGTCTCTTCTTAGACTTAAAAGGAACAGGATGAAATCTGCCAGGAATTCACAACTCTAGGAAATGTCAGTTTTCAATCTTTTGTGAGATGCCATGCTGTTTTCACAGGATTATGGAAATATCTGGAAGGTATTTAATTTTACTACTTTTGCTGATCTGGGGGCAGCTTTTCAATGGAACTTCCCTTCTATATTTCACACCTTTTTTTTCGGTTGTTGTTCTTGGCTTTTTCCTCCTTCAAGAAGGAGTAAGGACAAAGACAAGACTCTTTTACACCATGAATCCCTATAGATTATTTCCCTGGGTATTTTTCTAGCAAAGCTTGCCAAAGACAATTGAGGAGAATTTCTTTGAACAAATTATGGAGCAAACTGTAGTAAAATTCAGAATTTTCGTACAGGAAACAAGGGAGAAACAATAGTGACAATTCCCTTTCTCTTCTGTAATGAAACAGATTTTATTTTCATTTAAGTACCCATCACGTATATCATTTTATTCCTCATTATGTAAGAATCAGAAGGAAGATCACTGGTAACAGGCAACCTATAATTTTGCTGGGAAATGTTCCTTGGTCTACCCTTAATCAGAAGAGGAATTCAATCTCAGGCAGATGAATTGGACTATATTAGCTGATGTTTAAATAGTAATTTAGACATTTTAAATATTTAGCTTAAAAAAAATTCATTACTCTTTTTGTTACAAACCTCCACAAGCTGAGACATCCACTGCACCTCTTTTTACTGTTGATGTATTTTCTGGACAAGAGATGCAATTCCTGGATCCAAATGATGGCTGGTATGTTCCAAGTGGACATGTTTCACATGTCTCAAGACCATTAGGTGAATATGTTCCCTGCCTGCACTGAGCTGTAAGGCAAAAAAATTCAGAAAGATTCAGCAATGTCCAACAGGACACATGGATCCTGATCTCTGAAAATAATGTTGAAATCACAGCCCACATCACAAAGAATTTTTCTTCTGGAGCATACTCTACTCTGAAGGACTTCATGGGTACAAAGAGCAAAAAAAAAGACACTTGTGGTAAGGTACTTGTAGTGCAATTGTGAATTATTACCCAGAGGATTCTCTCCAATCAGCCTCACAGATGATTTACTACAACTCAGTTACTCATTTTAATCAACAAAAATATTGGCAATAAAGACAGTAAAAATTAAATCAAACTAGGTATTTCCTTTTCATAAGAAGTCATGAACAGTGACTAGAATAGTGGTTCTGTGCTTTTCAAGGCCTCAGCACTGTAGGGTGGGATGGAGAGTGACTGGCAAAGATGACAACAGAATTATTTTAAGTGTATTAATGTCTGAAAAATGCAATCACAGAAATGAAATGTAGAACTGAAAGAAATTAAACAGAGCATCAAAGGCCAACTCTTCTCAAAACCTCTGCCCTGAAAACTTAGATAATTACCTATGCATATGTATTAAGGTGCAATTAGGACTGCTCCTCATTTCACAGGCTAGCTTCATTCCAGTGCTTCCACCATGGGGTCCAAAAGGATGTCATCAAGAATTCAGAAGTGGCTGTCCAAATAAGATGAAAGTTCTTACCTTTGCACTCAGAGATGCTTCTAGAGTGTAGATACTCAGTATAGCTGCCAGATGGACAGCTTTTGCATTCCAGCTGCCCTTCCTCATCTTGATAGGATCCAGTCCAGCAGCTTTCACAGGTAAGATGCTCCAGGGAGTAATAGGTACCCAAAGGGCAGTTGACTGTAATGTAATGTTGGAAACCTAAGTTTCCCTCAGAGTGAAAAATCATACATACCTCTCTTGCCCCTGGAGTTCCCATTTAGCCAAACAATGTTTTTATGAAATATGACTCTGTTCCTCAGCAGATAGGTATCTCTCTGGAACACTGCAAAGATTTAACTATACACAAGAAATGGAATCCAATTCCCTATCTTAGCTACACATCACTCATAGGACTAACAGGGTTAAAAAACTGCATACCAAGCACTGTTTTCTCTGTATCGCCAAGGATGGATATGCCTGATTTCCCCCTGGGAGTGGAATCCTGGGTACAAAGCATCCCTTTTCCACAGGCCTTGGTTAGGAACATAAACATCCTCTGGAAGTCAAACTGTGCAAAGCATTTTTGCAGTTTATTGTTATGGGAGACCACAAGCACTGGACTGTGTCAAATCATAACTCTGCAAACATCCTCTGAAACCTTGTTTTGCAAAAGGATTTTAAATACACATAAGAAACAAATCATTTGGCTTACCACACATTCTCCCTCTCAGCACAGAACCAGGCCTGCAGAAGAGAAAGGCCTTCTCAGTCTCCAGTGAGTTGGTGTCAGCTACAATGAGTTCAGATGCAAACTGAAAAGAATACATGGGTTCCTTATTAAGAGTTCTATTCAGCCTGTTTGTGATCATTTCCAGAGTTTTAAGGAGCCGTCTCTGGTTTTCCAGTTCCAATGTATCATTCCTTTCATCAGGCAGTGGCACGCTAGCTGTAATATAAACAGCAAACACAAAAAACACACAGATTTTGCAGTCAGCACTTCCAGTGAACTCTGGAATTTATCAAGAGTGCACCACTCAAGCTTGTCAGTGGAAAGTGAAAAGGAGACCATGTGCAGAAAGCTCCCCATGAACACGAGGCTGTGATCTCTCCCTCAAGAAGAAAGTCTGTGACAAAATGGGGCTATGAATGTGTCTAGAGAACTGCCATCTGCATCTTCACCAGGCTTCTGTGAGCTGAAGAAGTTTTACTGAATGTATTAGAGACACAATTTTTAAGAAGAAGGAAGAAGAGAAGTTCAGTGTCTTGACTTGTCTCACCTGTGATGTTAAATATTAACTTGATTTTTTGGTCAGTCATCGGAACATTCAGCTTATGTCTTTTGACCCGAGCAGGTGCTGCCTTTACAGAGGCAGAGAGATGCTTGGATAAGTCTTCTCCTTCTACTGCATCAACAAAATCACCATAGGAATAATCCAGGTGGTTTGCTGTTCCCCAGCCAGCAGGTCCTGTGGGACATCAAGAAAAAAACAAAAAGAAAAGCAACAACATGTGGAAAATAAGTACCCCTACTTATTTCTAAAATACAGCTCCAATATAATCTGTTTGAAGCTACAGATGATATGCGTTGACTTTGACTCTGTACAAGTGGCTACTGTACCCACATTTTACTAATGAAAAACTTTACTCCTAACTGATATCCTACAGGTCCTGAGTATGGCGAAATCAGTCAAAGCTTTAAAGAACTAGTTATAAAAATTACATGTTGCAATTCTTTCTCTTCCTCTGTCTTGCATGAACCCTCACCTGCACCCTCACCAGCAACTTCTTCAACAATTCCATTTTACCCTTGATTCCACTTGTTGCTTACTAACAGACAGCATAGCCTTTGCCATGCCTCCATTGCATCTTTGTCTAACAACTCCTGGACAGTTCTAACATTGTCTGGCCTCTCAGAAAAGGCATCACCTTACGTGTGTATTACCCCCAGAGAGCCATCTCTTGTTACGCACAGTGAGGCAAATTCACCCTTGTCTAATGTCCTTCATCACTCTAGTATGATTTCAGTCAAAATATTTCCTTCTACTTTTTCATAATTACTAAATCTAGAGGGATGCAGTGTATTGCATTGATCAAGATTATTTTTTAAAAGATGTGAGGATACAAAAAAAAAAAAATCTGCCAATTTTCTGTTAGCATCACCAAGATTGTGTTTTATTTACAGTGGTAACTATGACAAGTTAGCCCCCCAGTTTAATATTGTGTGAGAGTTTTGCAATTAGTTTTCTAAACTGCTGTCTCTCATGCCTTGGGGAGAGAGCTCTCCTCTCCTGCTTCCACAGTGTAAAATTATGAGAAACTCCTGAAAAACAGCAACAAGGTTATTCTGGTAAGAGGCTGACATAAACCAGAAGGGGATAGGATGCTACATTCCATGTCTGTAACACTGTTTTTTCCACATGCCTTTACAGATTAGTTCCAGCTGTCATCAGCATTCATCCTCACCCTGATGACAACTGCAGACTGAACATCGAGGCCTGCCCCATGTCTGAACACAAGCAAATGCTCTCAGAGTGAAGCATTATAAAAAGTGAGCATAAACAGGAAGTTCTACCAAATAGAACTCCACTATAAACCTGTAAAAGAGACACAGTCCTATGACAGATTCTGATGTGGATCTGCCAAAATGGCTCCTGCTAACACTGGTAATATAAGTTATCCACTTTCATCTTTTCTGCTCTCAGCGCCCCAATGGGACTCAGAAAGGCCAAGAATAACAACAGTACAACACGGAGATTAAGCTGTTCAAAAATGGACTGAAAATGACAACTTACTTACTTTGCATAAACCAGAGTGGGGACAGACACTAGGATGGTTATGGCTTTCACTCTGATATAGCCACAGTTATGGTGCAGAATCTGCCCTTCCATGTAGGAAGTATTTTCACAGCAAATGGGCCAGCTTAGGTGCATATAGCTTTACACAGTGAGGACTCTGTGCAGATCTGAACTGGCATCACAGATGCTCTTCATTTTCTGAACTGAACTGAACTGATTTCTCCAAATCTAGTTATTGTAGCTTTTCAGTATTTTGGTTTTAAACTGCATGTTTTTGAGAAGTTCCTTTTTTCTAGGCTAACCAAGCAGGTTTCTAGGAGTGTGTGTGTGCATGTGCTTTTTTTCCCTCCCCACCATAAGGCATCCCAGGAAATTTTCCTCCATATATAAGAAGCTGCATCGATACAAGACATCAAAGAGCTCCACAACATTTTTATAAAGCCTTTATGTAATTGCTTATTATCTTATGAGTACCACAATTACTTAAAAAAAAATCTCACTAAAGACATTGTGGCAGGAATCATGAGCTTTAAACCTGGATGGCTAAGAACCTATGGAATCAATAATTACCAATGGCAAATCCATTTTCATAATCATAATTATATTCCAAGCAGTGCTTCTGTGTCTGATCTTCCAATCTGCAGTCAATATCATCGACATCATTACAGAATGATGGGACCTTTCAACATAAAGAAGAATGACTTTAAAAACATAAAACCACACAGCCCTCTCCCCTGACTTATAAAAACTTCTAATTACAATGTAAAGTGCTGGTTCTGTCACTGACACTAGATTTCCCCTTTCGTGTCTCTTATAGCCCTGGACAGGTCTGCTAGAAGACATATGTTTTATTGATGATACAAGTTGGAAATAAGAAAGCAAGAGATTGCACAAGTACAATCTCTTCATTACAGAAGATTTTTTTAAGAAAAGATGTCAATTAATTACTCTTACAATTAATCACTCTTGCGTGCCAAATCCCAGAATACAGAAATAAATTCAGGCATTTTTCTCCTTGCTGAAGAGGACTGGAGAGCTCATATTTATAAAGCACCTGTGTTTTTTTCCAGCTATGTTACTTGTAATTCTGTCAGGTTTACAAAAATGCTGTCACTTTTATCTAGGTATCAAACCTTATTTCTTCGTATCCACCTCTCTCTACCCATGGAAAGGGACTTATGCACCCAAAGATCTCAGAGAAGAGTGAAAAAATCTCAGGAGAACAGAAATCCCATGTCACACAACAGAAATCCCATCACACAATAGAAAACTCATCAGAAACATTTCTGATATTGCTTATTTTTTTCCCTACACAAAAACAGTGGAAATGGATTACATAAGAATAGATAAATGCATGATTTTTGATAAAGTATGCATTTTTTGCTTTTTCCAGAAAGGTTTCAAGCAAACTGGGCCATAGGCCATGTTTTGAAATTGTTTTGTTTTTGTATATCAACTTTTATTTGAAAGATGTTCCTGCCCCTTCATTCCTACTTTTCACATCTCTAGTAGAGTTTTAAATTCTTGAGAACAGGAATAAACATATTCAAGATAGCTTTTCTGAATGTTTTTCCAGACCATTGCATTTTGATGTAATTGTTTGGAAAGGCCACTACCCATTTTTTCCTTATTATCTTTTACTTGCCAATAGGAACGCTCCAAGCACTGGAACCTGGTGGTACCAGGGAAAGAAACAGAAATAAAACCATTCAAGATTTCTCTACTGGAAAGAACAAACCTGAATCAGGGCAAGAGAGTAACAGACATTTATGTTCAAGTGTTAGACATTGCCTGACATGTCACCTAAGATGTTACTGACATACGTTGCAAAGTTGCAGGAGTTTGCCCATTTATCTGTGTGTGCTAACAATGGTTTTTAGTTAGGAGACAACCTTTTTGTAGAATATGGGCTATGTTCTGCAAAAAACCTGTAGATGCCCAGTGTTCTCTGCTAGAAAAAATGATGTTGCACTAGGCCTGGACATCTACTCTTGGGATCAGAACGTTCGATGTTCTGCTGCTTCTACTTTTCAGCTGAGGACAGATTTGTGGATTGACAGGGGAGATTGTGATATTGAAGTGGAAAGCAAGAGCCATGACAAAGAAGAAAGATAGGGCCTCTTCAAATTCAGTATCATGCATTTAATGGTAAGAGTGAGAGCTCAGAAACTCATGAAACCTGAGCAGACCACTGCTACTGGATTTAAGTGCCTGGATGTACACACCAAACATCGTACATATGTATGTTCATTCATACTATTTGGTTATATATTATACACATTCTATATAAAATGCATTTATTTTATGATCACATCCAACTTTCAGAAACAGCATTGAGGGGACAATTGATTGGGAGTTTCAAAACTGCATAGGTTCTCTTTGGAAACCTACTGAAAATCTACAAGCTGCAGATCCCTAAACTAGTTGGATACTTGCATAAATTCTGTCCCATACAAGTCCACATTGAAGACTAAACTGAATTACATTAAAATGCCAGTGAATCATCTTTTTTTTAAAAAAAATAACTTGTCACCCTCTGAAAAGGCTCAGATTTAACTTACAGACCTCTGCTGTCAATTTCCTTGTACAAAATTAGTTATTTGGAAAAAGTACAATATTTTTCAAGAAGTATGTAAAGGGAAGAAGTATTTACTAACCTACCATTTTACCAAGTGCACTCTGAAATGCATCAGTAAAGCTGTTTAGGAGACTGTTGTCATCACATCGCGTTGCTTTGTAGAGCATTTCAAAGGATTTGAATCCATGGTTTGCAAAACGATTTACTGAAAATCATTGGAGAAATAAATGTTTACTGACCAGTGCAAGAGCTTCAGAACTAAAATCAAGACATTTTAGGCCAAAACTGGAATGCAAGAAGGTAAGAAGCATAGTCTTTCAATCAGCAATCCAAATGGATCACTTACATCTCAGTCAATGATACAACTCTTTGGAAGGCATGAAATTTACTGGAAAAGTTATAAGAACTGAAAACTCAGGTCACTTTTCTACTTCAGCATTTTCCTAATGGAAGAAACCTATGAACTGTCAACTAAACTCTCTGCCAGCTTCTGAGAGGAAAGCAATAAATATAAAAGCCTTATTACTAATGCTGCTAGACTAAATACAAAAATTCTTATCCAGAAATTAAGCAAAGTTCAAAAGTGTCCAAGTTATGGATTTTGAATTGGTAGCTCTGAAATAAAACTTTCATTTGTTCATAGCTGAAACACTGATCTTTTATTGCTCAAACCAAGAAATTGACTCTGAAGGAAGTGGATGCAACATGGTAGCAAGACTGGCTTAAAATGTAGTTCTAATACATTTATTATAAAAATGTCCAAACATGGAAAATTCCAGCACTGAAGTTTTGCATGTGTACTTCTCAAAGAAAACACATAAACTCTTCTAATCTGGTGGTAATTAGAAATGTAAGCACAGCACACACTACGCATTTCAATCAGTAAATTGCAAAGACCGTTGTATTCCTATTAAAATGACACTGATAGTGTTAGCAAACTGTTTCAATTAACCTGTTTGCTTTGCCATCTTTGCTATTTTGTGTTTCCTGGGACTGAAATTCACAGCTATTTTTGTGGTTTAGACAGCTTCTGAAATAACATCTTTACAGACTTCCAAGCATTATTTCACAATATTTGTAACAAGCCAGAGGCAGAGGACAAAGAATATTTTTTATAATTAAATAGAAGTCAGTTTGTCTACAATATTTTCACTTGCTTTATCAATAAATATAGTGTTTCATGAGTTATAGATTCATTTTAGTAACAGTAAGACTTACAAGAGCAGCTAGGCCACTCTGGAGAATAAGGTGGCTTCCAGAGACCATCATCATATGCACAATAGTAGTTTTCACTTGATCCTTCTGCAAAGCTGTAACCCTCTGCACAGTGCAATGAGCAATTAACTCCTGCTTCATCTGATGTGCATATAAAATCACCATTCACAGGCTCAAAGGAAACTTCACAGGGAGAACCTATGAAAACACAAATATTTAAATATTGATTAATGTGGTGAAATAAGTTATCCTGCATGAAAACAGCACTGACAGGATTTCCAAAAGTACCTAGTATTGACTTGATCTTGCCTCTGTTGAAGCATATGGAAGTATTATTTGCTATATCTATAAAGTCAGGATCAGGCTACTGCTAAATAACTCTCAAATTCTGCCATTGCAATTGGAAAACTAGAAACGTGAAGACTTAAAAAAATGTTATACATATGAAAAACTATTTACTAAAATAATCTAAAATATCCATCTAAATTTTCACACAAAATTTATACAATGAATTCTAGTAAACTATATTACATCTTGAATTCTGAAACGAAATATTATGCAATAATAAGTTTTCTGCAACATTGCAACAACGTATGAATTAGTTAGAATCATCTTAGGATAACCTCATAACCTCAGCTATGACTCATTTTTCAGGCCAGCTGTGAAGGAAGTTGTGCATGTCTGTAAATACTATGTCACAAACAGTGAACCACAAAAAGTCTGAGATGGTATAGACCTTGATAACAATGCCAGTTCTAAGCACTGGCTGGTCCTTGCTAAGATTTAGAGCGAATCACAGACTAGCACATTCATTTGCAACTTACCTTTCCTGAAAGCTAGAACCAAAATTCCAGTCTGCATGATTTTAAATTCTCCCTTCACTGACAGATATTTTTATACTGATGTCCAACTGAGACATAGAAAGTAGAAAGCAGATATAAAGTAGATTTTTCATTATTAATAATTTATCTGCCAAATTATTGTATAGATTTTTAATGAGAAAGGGAATCATGGGGAAGAGATGTCTATGCAATAAACAAAATACAGTAGTACATCTATAGGTATAGGCATATTTCAAAATCTAGAGTGTTTTGTTATCTGCTGCAGTATTTGCATATAATTAGAGAAAAATTGGAAGAAAATTTTCTTTTTAACACAGATTTGAAACAAGATTTGAGTAACAACTATTAATACATTTCACATGGTATTGCAAAAACTATAAGTTTTACTGCTTAATGAATCATAATTTCAATGTTTTTATACATAATTTGAATTTATAGAACCAAATTCACTGCTGTGCCACTTCAGCCATAGACAATTTATTTGTTGGTACGAGAAAATATTTTGACGGCCTTCAAGTTACCTCAGTATGAAATGGGAATAACTGAACGAGGAGGTGGAGCAATCTTGTATCCTTCATGATATTCAGCTAAAACAATGCCAGGTCTTGGCCAGAATTTGAAGAAAAACACACCTTTGATGACAATGTGGATCTCACATGTCCTGTTATTGCCAGAAGGATCTACAGCTGTGTACTGGACTGTTGTCTCTCCTTTGGGAAAGAGATCTCCAGGTGCATGACTCCTAGTGACAGTCAGTGGACCGCCTAGAAGAGTTAAAAGTTAAAAGCATCAGTAAATGAAAGAGTGTTGCTCATAGCCAACCCTGACAAAAGGAAAAGGCAGCAAATCTTCAAAATTATATGTCCTTAAAAATAACTAAGTAAGAGGAACCTCAGCAAATCTCAAACTCCAAGGGATCAAGGGTAAACAGGTGGAGTTCCTTAGCCTTCCACTGTTACATGTATGTTTTGGGGAGCACTATCTCACCTGAATTGTCTGAAAATTCTGGTTCTTCCCATGTTGCTGGGTAGTCATTCTCTGCTGCTTGCATGGGTGGTGGAGATCTGCATCTGTCAACTACAGGAGGTTCTGTGTCTGCAGAATTTGAAAGGACGGCGTGACATTAGCTTACAGAACTACACTCAAATAGCATCTATAACCAGAACAGCAGCTTTAATTTCATATTGGAAGATACAGCAAAGGTGCACACTTGGAAGCTGCTGCAATTGGAACATCCTGAGCAAACAGGTAAGAGTAATTATTCTGCTGAATGCATGGTTTCTGCAGTGTTTGCCTTCTACAGAGCAAACCTTGGCCTACCTGCAGGACTCCTGAATAACACAACTGTCTGACAGAAATCCTTGAATAATGATTTTCATCAGTAATATGTGTGGACTTTGGAAAATTTCTTAGAGTCATTAAAGAATTAAATAGAGATTTGTGATGAAGGCGATAACTGACAACACAATAAAACATTTAATAAACCACTATGAAGAGTAATCTTAGGAGTCAGAAAGGACAGCAGAATAAAATACACCCCAAACTGAACATTGCAATCAGTGACTGCACACATGCAAAGCCTTTATGGAGAGGACAATACTCCTGGGCTTGTAACTGCACACGTAAAGGCTACTATGACTCACAATCTCTGCACAAATAAGAAGGTTCAGACATAACAGTGATTTTTACCAGCACTTACCAATAACCTTGATATTGAATGTGCACCTTGCTTCATTGCCTGACTTATCAGTTGCTGTGTAAGTAATGTCAACTTCGCCAATTGGGAGAAGAAATGGTGGTATGTAAGCAGGGGTAACATGAACTGAGACCTGTGATAGGAAAACACCCATCATTTAAAAGCCAAAGCTGGTTACTAATCATGATATTCATGTTTCAAATAGTGGACAGAATAGTATCCTTCAATGACAAGCCCGTTCATGCTGAATGCAAATAACCTTTTAATATTACGAGGATGGACTCTACAGCAGAGTCCTCTATGTCCCTTTTCAAGTCTGCCTTCTTTACAGCAACAGGGATTTCCCCAGTCAGGATGTGGACTCTGAACTGGTGCAGATTACAGCACTTTGCATTAAGAAGATTCCATACTGACCCTTCTTTGTCAAATGGGACTGAAGGCACACTGTGTCAGCTTAGAATTGTCTGATTACAATTCTCTGCTGCTGCAAGGGCAGCAGACCTGGGAGAGGACTGGAGCAGACATTTGTGGGCCCTAAGTACTTACATACCCAGTTTTAATCTATGCATGTGTATGAGTTAATAGCCCACAGATGCTTCAGTATGGCACCTGGCTTCTATAGTTCCCTGTGTCAGCAGAGCTATAGTAACTGGCCATAGCTATTCCACAGAAAATGATGTGTGAACTTAAATCTCTTTTACTGTGATCGCTCAGTTTCCTAGTGCAAACAACTCCTGCATTAAAAGCACACAGAGACGCACTGCTCCTCTGCTGACTCCTGATAAAGCATTCAGTTGCTGTAACTTGATCATGCCTGAGCCTGCAGGGAATGTTGCTCTTCATGAAACAGCTCTGGAGCAAGTTTTCCTGGTAGCTCCATTTCCAGACCCCCTGACATGTATAGTAGCCAATGGGCACATTTCTGAACTTTGCACAGGAAAATCAGATTTCTCTTTCTCACCCAGGAAGCTGAAATTAGTTTTTACTTATCACAGTGTGTACTTGTTAGCCCCTTAGATTAATGAACTGGTTTAGTTCCTTCTGAGATGAGTTTATTAAACTTATTCACATTCTAAGTGCTCATTTTTAAAGCAGCTGTCTTCATATTATAAACAAGGGCACATTCTTTCTTTTGACCACATAAATTAACCATATGAGGTTTTACACACTGAAACTCTATGCAGTACCCTGTGACTGTATAACTAATCAAGACCGAAAATGCTGAATTCTCAAGATACAAACTTTCTAGGAGATTTTTCTTCTGCTTATCAGAAGAAAGAAGTTCCAGTGGATTATAAAATTAATTGAAATCAGAAAGACTGACTCCAGTTAAATAGATAAAGATTTTGACTTGCCTCTTCACCAGAGTTATCCTCAGCTGTTGGTACCTGCCAGCTGATATTAGCAGAGTTATGGTGTTCCAGAGTCACAGTCTCAATATTGTCCGGGCAGTGAATCCGAGGCGCTTCAATATCTAAACCAGAAAAAGACGGTTTGGTTTTATATGTGGTATCACAGAAGTAAAACCTTATAACCACTCTTTTTCTTACTGCCTGGAATATGTACATATTTTCCTCTGCCCCTTTGTAATTCTTGCCTAGAGATTCACACATGAATAGTAAATTCTCCCGCAGAAAGGACTGATTTTTGCTGTATTTTTGTTTATCACTGAGCACAATGATATTCTGGTTTCTACATAAAACCAATAAATAATAAATAATAAGAATACATTTGTTTTTTTTATTACCCATACACTCCTTCTCTATCCTTTCCCTGTTCAGACACATGCAGATGAAAACAGCTGTTTCTGACAATCAGTGACTAAAAATCCTGGAAGTATTTGTGACATGATATAGATACCATGAACAAGACAATAGTGACTCAAATTCCCTGGACCATGCTGTGGAACTGACTTAAAAGTAGCAATGTCAAGAATTCAGGCAGCAGTTGCTGGAAATGTTCCTTAATAAGCTCCTGTTACAAGGTATTATGTAGGACAAATGGAGTCTTCTTGTGACATGTGACAATGCCAGATGGTTCCAGAGGACTGGTGGTACAATATGGGTAACACCACCACCAACAAGCGGTGTGTTACTACACCTCAAGTTTCTCTGACAATCTTGAAGTGCTTCTTCAGTTCCCTGGCACAGGGCCTCACAAAACATTTGTGGTCAGGGGACTTTATCACTGTAGTGCTTGATAAATGGTCTCTAGAATGATAAGACAAGGACACATTTGGCTCTGAACTCATCTATGCCCAAGAGGCTTTGAAACAACTCAGAACTGATATCACTTTTATTTTTATTATGAAATAGTTCCAGTAAAAACATAACTCAGGCAATTAAATTACATAATTAAGAATGCAAAGCAATAAATACATGTGATTTTGCCTTCCTTTGAACCCATTCAAATGAAAATTGTATTAGAAATGCACTCTTATAAATAACTGCCACTTATGGTTCACACTCCCTTGACCACAGCCTTCAGGCTGGGGCAAATTCCATTTAAAAGTGAAATTCTCTAGAAAGACTAATAATAAATAAATCAGAAAGAAAATGGCTCTTTTGAACTGGCCAAATATGCTGGCAGCAAAACAGAGAAAGACAATAACAAGAAACAAACAATTGAAATACAACTGTTCATTCTTACTCAAAAAGAATAAACTTCAGAGTTTCTCATTGCCTCCTACATTAGGGGTTTCTGCACTGCTAATATCTAAAAGCTTGAACCCAAGCCATGCCATTTTATCTTGATCTGAACACTTCAGCTGGTGCTGGGATCCCATCAAATATTAAAAACTGTGGTTTGGCCCAGGTTTACACAAGAGATTCAGAAAAACAATGTGGTACATCACCAAATGGGAAACAGTATGTTTAAAGAGAGAGACAAAATCTTCCTGGCCTGTACAGAGAAAAAAAGCCTCAGTTTCTGTAGTGACCGGAATGATGACTGGTGTAAGTTTTTTGTACTGTTCCACCACCCAGTGGCTGGCAAGGGCCCCAGTTTTGGGGGGAAGAAATAATTCTCAGAGCACAATAGTTCATGAAGAGGTGAAGAGCATATTCCCAGAAAAACTTCTGTTTTTATCCTACTATAATCCAAAGCCAGACCCTTCCCAGTTCAGTTATCCATGTGTGTAAGGGAATAAATAACCTAACACTTCTGGAAGAGGTGGGTAAATATGGCAGAACCATACTGAAATGCATGTCACTGTCTTCTGCTCAACTTTACACTCTGTCAGCCAATACACTTGGTGTTAGTGAATTTTGGCCTTAACTCTTGTGCATTGTTGCCTGGGGCATGTCAACAGCCATAGCCACTCAAAGACAACCAAAATGAACATTTCTCTATAGTCTATCTATCAGCCAGGGCTTACACAGCTGGTACAGCTCTGCTCTGGCCACAGAGTTTACATAAACTTGTGCTAAACCAGTAAGGACAGTACTACCATTATTATCTTATTAGAAGTGTGGGTTCCATTTTGAATATCTTTAAGCTATGAGCTTTCACCTCTACTTTGAAATTCCAAATTTACCTGCATGTCACACCTTTTAGCAGGCAGCTTCCTAGCAACTGAGAGATGGAGCCCAGGAAAGGCATTTGATGATGATGACTACAAGGGGACACTCAGGGGACCTCAGAACTCCACATTTTTGTTACAAGGTACAAGTAAATCTGACAGGCAAACTGTAAATGTACAGGCAATACTTCTTACACACTGTTTAAGTTGTGCTTTCCCCAGCTGAAGCCTGCCCTCACTCAGTTATTTGCTGTGTGTTTCCCTTCAATTCTGCACTCATGTATACACAGACATGATTTTGTACTGGTCTCTACCTTTACACAGAGCTTCCTGGATGTTTGCACTCCATCTCCCAAATGAAATGCACCTTATTTCTTCTCTAGCTCCAGACAGGATGAATCCCTGGGGACAGCTCAGCTGGCACACAGTCCCAGAAATGGTGGGCTCCAGCCCACATGTGGGAGGGAGAACTGTCACACCTGCTGGTTTCTGGAGGATGGGACAACGCTTTTCTGCAAGAAAGCAGTAGAACATGACTTAGACAGAACCAAAAGACACATTCAAACAAACCTGCAAATAAAGTCATATGGACAATCAGTGGGAACACAAAGTACACAGTCTTTTCAAGAGTCTTTAGGCGTATGAGTGCACCAAAACATTACAACCTGATGCAACTTTGCTACTTGGCTTTCAGTTCTGACTAAAGTAAACAGCAGCCAGTTTATCAGGTCTTCTGTTTCCCTGCTCACACTCTTCACTGAAATAGAAATGTGGTAATTTTCATGCACATCCACTATATCTCACTCTCTAGATTAGCCTTTTTTTTTTTTTCCCTTTTCTTCTTTTCCTTACAACATCATCTTTCATGCTTGCTTTGCAGTTGCATTTCCTTGCTTCTATGAAAACTAGACCATAGCATGAGAGAGAGAGAGACTAGAAGAAGTATCTGTAGCTTTCTACATCTTCTATACTCTATCTTGAAATAAGAAAGGGAGAAGAAGAAGGATACTCTACCATGAACTCTTTATAGGTTAGGGATATGACACATGATTTTGCTTACTGCATTCCAAACCAAATGACATCGGACTTGGTCTTGTCTGTGCTCAAAACAGCTGGAAAAACTCAGAGTGATCATAGGAAGCAGAGCTCTGTAAAATCAGGACGGGCTGATGGTTGCTTAAAGGTTTAAAATGGAAGTTTTGAACTATTTCATTACTAGGGTTCACTATAAATCCTGAAGACCCCTTTCATCAAAGCAAAAACCATGATGTATTTAAACAGGTTCACAAAAGCTTTGTTCCATTCTTAAGCTGTTGTTTTTAGGAATGTTATTTTTACTTCAAATATGGGGACATTAACAAAGAGGGCAAAAAGGGGTATCTCATGGATGTGGTTTGTACACTTTCAGTACTGTTTCTTACAACAGCTAACAGGCAAACACACAAGAAAAATGGTTCCTTACTCAGGGGAAGAAGACTATAATTTGTATAAGTATACAGAAAACTTTTTATAACTTGTCAGTGTAAAAATCAGATGGGTCTTTATACCAAGAGAACACAAAAAATAACCCAACCCAGCTACACAGAAGGGAAGCTCTACTGAGTTCTTAGCAATGGTTTAATGACACAAAAGTGAATCACATTCAAAATACTTCACATTCCTTTCCTCTCCTCTCGTTTCCCAAAACATGCAGCAAGTAACTGAAAACTGTTTTTTATGCATGAAACAAATTTAAAGATTCCAAGCATTCTGTGTATTTCCTGAAATTTAAACACTCAATAATGAAATGTTTAAAAGCCCAAGCAATTAGTAACTGCACCTCATTTCAATAGGACTCACAGGCCACAAACACTTCTAACACATTTGTATAGTTCAGGCAGATATTGCTAGCTATGCAAGGTGGAACAATTCCATCAGGAAAAAAAAAACCTAAACCCTAAGTTTTGCTTGCTAACCGCATGCAGGTAACTGACAAATAGCAAAAAGATCACAAATTTTAAAAACTGTATTTGTATTGTAGAGTATTTGTAGAGGCAAGCTAAAAGCAGTAAAATGTATGTTACTCTAGGAACAAGAAGAGAAACTGAAACATGTAAGCATGAAAAGCAGAGAAAGTTGCAGCTCTCTGGGAAGCAAAAACAGCTGGGCCTCTTGCTTGAGACACATCCAGCTATACTAGAAAAGTCTAAGTAAAGCAGAATCCTGAAATGTCTGACGAAAATCAGGATAAAATTTGGTATAACCAGCACAAAAGAATTTCTTTTAAGTAGGACAGGAAAAGCAGCTGTAATAGAGTTGTTTAGACTCTTTTGTGCTCAACTCCAGAATTTGATCAAGCTGATCCAAAAGTCTGGAATTCATTATGGGTAGAGGGATATCCATGCCATTAGTTATATTGATAGGGAATTAATAGAGAAGAACTATTTCTAAGGAGACACAAGAACCCACTTTCACCTGCAACCACCTATGATGAAACACAACACTGTATTATAATTCTCAGCATCAAAAGGAACTTGACAAATGAGATTACAAAGCAAATCATGCCTCCTCCTTTCAATTCCTTTGCCAAGATTGTTTCAGGAAAAAAATCTGGTCAGCTGCAATCAGAACTATGAACTAGTAATTCTTTCAACGCTAGATGGCATCAACACCCTGGATGTCATTTGTATTTTTACTTCACTAAACCTTGAACAAAGAAAGGAGAAAAGCATCTTGCATAATTTATTGATTTTAAAGTGATTGATATTAAACTTTTGCTAGTAGGTGGGAAACACAGGAGCATGGCAATGGAACTTTCCTGGTTTTGTTTCTTCCCCCCTAAAGGGGACAAATGACAAAGCTTCACTTTTCAGCAGGTATCTTGTTTGTCAACCACCTATAAAATATATGTAGCTTCCCCAGAAGTAGCTCATTGCTAACAATACCTTTAATGAAAAAGACAAAAATTTAAAACATATGTAATATCCAAACTTGCATTACCTTCCAGTCTCTTGGAAAGAGATGCACTAAACAGACACCACAGAAGTGACTGTAAACAATCCAGGAAATGTTATGGTACAGTGTCAATTATGGTTACACATGGCTGTGCTACAGTCTCAGTGAGCTAACTTGCAAATATGGCAAACATTGCACTGATGAGCAATCAAACTGAAAAGCATTCAGAAAACTAGCTAGAAGGATACGCTGAGGTCCAAGAAGTCTGTTTCAAGGTAACAGACTGAAGACAACTCCGTTTCAGTTTTCTAACAGAAGGATATGAAATTAATAAATTATTAATTGCAAATGCCTAAATCTAGCAGAATTTCCTGCTAGATTATCTGCTTTTATATAGCAGATTGTAAATAATTGGAGCTATTTGGACTAAAAATAAACAGACAATACCTCCATGGCAATGATGATCATTCAGAAAACATGTACAAAGGGTAGTTTCAATCTTCAAGAGGAGGATACTATATTGGTGTTCTCATTTACACCTTTCCCTGAATACAACTCCACATATTTATGTTGAGCCAGAATTTCAGCAAGCTTGTTCTAAAGACCTGTCACAACGAGAAGCAGCAGAGATGCTTCCTAGCTTACACTCTTTCCTTTCTGACAATCAAAGGTAACTTTCTCGCTAAATTTTTCAGACTCAGCAAAAATAAGATATTGCCATGGGTAATCCAGGAATTGAGGCAATATTGCATGGTATGAAGAAATCTTCTGATAGAGAGTAGAGCTGGATTTTATTAATCAAAATGCTAAGCTAGGAAGGATGAATTCAACTGATGAGTATGGTTAATCTTCTAATTATAATATGCCAACCGGATTTCAGAGTCCCTTCCTTTTGAAGTTAATTGATGCTTTTCCACTGATTTTAACAGAAGAAAGATTAGGATCTCTCAGCAAACTGTCTTGTTAAATTAATTCTTGTGGATTATTTTCATATTTTCAGAGAATGTACTTAGAGTTAGAAATTTAAGCTTGTCTCACACAAAGTCCACATTTTTAAGACTGCAATAATTTACTGTTGTAAAGAAATAGCCAGAGGTTCAAGTGAAGTCACCCTATTGGCACTGCTTTTACGGGATCCAGGTGACATATACTTCACCCTCACTTTAGTCAGCACTGTATCAACTCCTTTATTGCTGGACTTTGGACTTGTACTTTTTTCTTTCTTCAGTCTATGCTTGGCAGTGTTTCAACTGTATTTCATCGTGATGTTTTTCAAAGTTAATTCAATACCTGTCACCAGTCCTAAACAGATAATTCTGAAAAATACAGTCCTTGATTTTTGGAATAGCAACACATGCCCACATATCCCTGCACAGCTGGTGTGACCTCTGAATCCTAACTCGGAGGTGCTTAGCTCCTAACTTGTGTAAACTCTTATTTCCTTGCTGTGAGTCCAGTGGAAATGACAACTGCTGCACCTTTAGTCAGCACTCTCAGTGCCTGGCTAACACAAACTAGCCCTTGCCTGCAGATCAGCTTTAGCTTTATGATGGTAACTCAAACTGCTGGTTGTTCATGTTTAATCCCTAGACCTACTGCTTCTGTTTCTTGCTGTGTGACAGTGTCTGACACTAAGGAGATACAACAGCCTTTCAGTAATCAGTATTCCACGTTGTATTTAAATTATAATTTGTCCACTTTCTCCATTTACAAATTCCTTTGCCCTTCCCCAACTTCTAAGAGTTGTATAAAGCATCCATAGGCAAATTCTCATTTTTATCCTAGCTTCACCAGTTATTAAAATATGAAGACTTTCTCCCCTGTGAGAGCATGTCAGAAAAGGCTGCACTCTAACATGAACAGAGTTAGATCAGATACCTACCCACACACTTTGGTTCCTTTGAATCCCACTGAGAGGTTCCCTGGCAGGTGAGTTTGCTGTTTCCTTCAATTTCATAGCCCTCATTGCAGGTCACAAAACATACTGTCTTATAGGAAATATCAGCTGTTGAACAATTAATGTGTCCATTTTGAGGAGACTGAAGTCTGGGACATGTTCGAACTGCAAAGGGAAAAAAACACCAGCTCACTCTCAGCACAGTGGAGTTACACTACTCTGCCCAGTTTTTCAGCGGTAGGAGAACACAGAGAGAGCACAGATTTTTTCCAAAGGCTTGATACCTTCTTGAAACACTCTTACATAGAATGTATGAGGTTGGGCACACACTTCCAAGCTCACCTAGATATGACATACGTTCTAACTAACAAACTAACTGTGCAACACTGGTACACAATGTTCAGCCTGAGCTGGTAATGTCTATCAGCCTTCAAAACAGCTGCACACAAATGGAATCCTGTGGAAAAGTGTGTGCTCTTAGGAGTTTCTAGTCTCCAACAACATCTGAGACTTTTGGAGGGATTTCAAACTGGTATGGGCTGAGTACATACCAGGGAACAGGATAAGAGCTTATAAACAGGTTGGATGAGAGTGTCCTGGTACTCAGGAATTTTCTCAGGCATTGTGGACTGTATTCACAGAATATAGACATGTGTAAGCCTCGGCAAGAAGAGAAGATGCTCAGCATGCTGGAGGAGACAGAGAAAGGAGGAAGGAATACAAACCATTTATATGGCTTGTATACCAGGTCCATGAGAGATGAAAAGGAAAAAATCAGGTTGTTACTGAGACAAAGAGACCCTTTCAGGTGTCAGGCATGGAGACAGTCCTGGCTGCTGCTCAGAACAGAGACTTTTCTCCTGTAATGCCTTGCAAACACTGAAAGCAATGTACTTCCAAGGAGAATGCAGTCCTGTGCAAGATGTGTATGATGTTTCCTGTGCAGAAAGGGAAGCAGAGAAGTAAAGTACAATCATCAGATTGTCTTATAGTTTTACTGTTGAATCCTGATGATGCAATCTAGCACAAAGCTACTCCGTAATTAAGACAGATCCCAGAAGAAAGTAAGTTACCTCTTGTAGTAAGAAAAATGTAGCAATGGTATGACCTGGGTTTATGTCCTCATGTTTCAATGTCATAACCCAAGATTTTATAGTAGGACGTCTTTCCTTTGTACTGCCTTTTCAGTGCAGATCCTTTTCAGCTAGGATGCCATGCTCCAGCATTTGTGTCCTTGGTCCCTCCCAGACAAAACTTTGAACTACATACACACTGCCTGGCCTTTGGGTCCCTCAAGCAACTAAACCGTCTGGACATGAGTATGTGATGATGATGATACACCAATAACCAGCTACTGGCTTTCCAAAATGAGTGGAAAACTCTGATTTAAAACTGAAAAAAACACATATGGGTAAATGGTGTAATTGCTCAAAAACATGACTAAGAAGACAGCAGTTCCTTAAACTCCTAGAATCACAGAATGGCTGCGGTTCGAAGGGGTCACAGGAGCATATCTGGTCCAACCTCTCTGCTCTACATTGGTCATCCCAGAGCACATTGTATAGGGTTGTGTCCAGACAGTTTTGAGTATCTCTAGTGAGGGAGACTCCACAGCCTCTCTGGGCAACCTGTTCCAGTGCTCAAGTCACTGTCACTGTAAAGAAGTTCTTTCTTATACTCAGGTGGAATTTGCTGTGTATCAGTTCCTGCCCCATTGCCTCTTGTTCTACTGCTTGGAACCACCAAGAAGAGCCTGGCTCCCTCCTCTTCAGACACTTATATACTTTGATAGGACCCCCTCTCAGTCTTCTCCAGGCTAAACAGGTCCAGCTCTCCCAGCCTCTCATCCCTTCCTCACAAGAGGAACTCAGTTCTCACTTGATTGTTTTCCACAGCTTCTGATTACCTTGCTGGCAGGACAACCTCTGATGATGGGTGGTTTCAGAGAGCTGCTTCTCTGCTTTGATTTGGGAAGCTGCTTTCACCAATTAACCTAATCTTGTTCCTGCCAGGCAGCAAGCAAAACACGACCTCCTCTACAAATGCACTCAAAGGGAAACCAACTTGGCAGCCTCTCCTTTCCCCAGCAATTGCACATAAGTGGACACCACTAGACACCTCAAACTAATTAATGGGCATGTAGGCTGAAATGAGAATCTGCTTCAAATGCAAGCCAGCTCTGTAATTACCAGTAACTACACAGTCTCTGAAAGCTACTATCAACACACATTAAATAATGTTGTGGTTTTTTTTTTTGAACAGCTGTGGCGGCACCTAAGTGGAAAAAAAGTACCAAAACCTATGTATATGGGATAAGAAAGAAGGAAAATAAGCCATCCAAGTGTACCTAATATATCTTTATATTACCATTGTTTCATGTTTACTTTTCAAAGGTACTACTACTCTTGTGCTTGCATACACACAGGCATTCTTTAGGAAGTGTGTTTAAAAACAATTTTGAAATGCTCATTTTGTGAGGCACCCTCAGCTTCAGAGCAGCTTCATAATATGCAGTAACTTAACTCTAGTAGGGGGAGCAGGAAAAACATATTTACAGCTGAATCTCACGTGCTTTATCCACAAGGAAGTAGGCTTTCTCATTTAAGGTTTATACAGAAGTAGAAATACCCAATCTGCAGTAAAAAGAGGTAAATTCTACCAAACTCTACTACTTAGGAAGCCTGAATGAACTAAGAGCACTGAGGAGGCTCTTGTCAATGTTAATGTGCCTACAGAGAAGGCAGTCCCTTCACTACCTGCTGTCTAGCCATTTTTTCTGGAAGGATGTAGTGCTCTTGCTTCTTCAAGTGTGTCAGTGTTCACTCTTACTCAGTGTCTCAGCAGGGCTCTGGCAGAAACCTGTACCAGAGCCCATGTTACCTCAGTCATGGTTCCAAGCATTAAACCCATCATGTTAAACCCACATTAAACCAACCCATCCTCTTATCAGTAACACATTCTCCATGAGCAAGAAACACTTCCATCAAGCCATTGAAAACAGCAACAACAATAACAGTATATTCTGCTTGCTCTGGGGTTTCTCCTCATGAATTTTTTTTTCTGGATTAAATATATGGTTTGCAGTTGTTTTTTTCCCCTGGGTCACTGTTAATTGCATGACATATGATTGCATTAATCACTTTCTAATAGCATAGCAGATTTTAGCTAGCAAAAGAACTGAGGAGTATTTAATGTCAAAATCCAAAGCAGTGGAAAAGGATTTCCCTTCACTCTCCTTTTCCTAATTTATGTGATAAAATACTCTTGGGATTAACAAGACAGCTATAAACCATGCCTTTGATCTTGCACCCTTTCATAGTCTGAGTGAATCAAGACTAGCAGATCCAACACATGTAACAGTGGGATTTTTGATTTTTTTTTTTTTTTCAAATTGGAAGTCTTCAGTATGATGGACAACGGCACAAAGGAAAAATATATCCTTCCAACGCTTCAAAGGATATTAGCTCAATATCAAGACAGTATCTCAAGGCAGACTTTCCCCTCACCTTCCAAATTCCCTGTTAAAGAAAGATCACACCCCAACACCAAATAGGAGAATTCCTTTAAATGCTGCAGCAGGATTTTCAAGTCCTGGAATCTTCCACTTCTCCATGAAAGAGAAGATGAAGGATCCCTTCTTTGTTGCTGACTGCAGCTTTTCCTAGATTTTTTGCACAAAGGCAGCCTGTGTGACAGAGGTTTGGACAGAGGGTGCTCTCTCCCAGTATCCCAGTCTGCCTGAAGCAGCATGCTTCAGCCTAAGTTTTGACTGCTGGAAAGTCCATGGCTCTAAGTTCTGCTACCCAAGATACCCTCATAGTACTGGCCAGCAATTAATTTTCTATTGAAACCTCCTCCTCTTGTCACTGGAAGCTAAAAAGGAAACCTAATATTTCTGGGATTATTTGAAGAAAGTTCCTATAAATCTAAGTTGAAGTAAACTGCTACATGAAGAATGTCCTGAGAGACTGATCTCTAGCTCAGATTCCTCCTTTCAGAACTATAAGCTGCTATTTCTTTCAGGGCTGTAGTGTTTGCTGTACTGTCATAAAGTGCTAATTCCTTCAAAGATCAATCCTGCCTTTTTCCCTGAACACAAGGCCAGGACAAGAGTTACAGAATGAAATGGTGTTTTTTTATTTACCAGCTTCTAGTGCAGCACACTAATGCCAAGGGCATTCAAATCAAATTAAACATGCTGAGCTGCATCTTGTGGCTGCTGATGAGAAAAGGGCTTCTATCTGATTTTTTTTGATTCTCTCCTTGGAAGACAAACCAGGCAGACATACAGGCATGGGATTCCAGTTTTCATCCTAATCATCAAAAACCCAACCTCAGGCAGTTTTGTTGTAGCAAATCAAAACTCTGTTCTTATCAGAAAACCCAGAAATAATGCTTTTTCAGGATGTTCTTTCTTGTGTCTCCTCCCTTTCACACCTTCTGTTTTTTTCTGGCTGACACTCTTTTATAGTGAACTTCTAGGGTATTGTCAGTCATTCCTTATTGAAATTCTACTCAAAATTCTTCTGAAGACCCTGCTCAAGTCCCAGGCTTTCCTATATTTGGTAAGAAGAAATTGTAAGAAAATAAGGAGTTCCATTCACATGGAATTCTTCCATGGCTAATGTCTTCCAATGCCAATACCTCTCTATGCTGAGGGTGTGGTGGATGATCTAAACCAGCCAGGTGGCAAGGTCTTGTTACATATTTAAATACTTGGTAGGTTCACTGGATTTATACAGTGTAGATACAAAAATTCACGGATACTAGGTAGACAGAGGTGAAGAGGAGGAGGTGAAGGAAGGAGACTGTATATTCACTTGAAAAACACTGCCCATCTAGTAAATCTTGCTCTGCTTTTTCTGTTCTAGAAATCCTCCTTTTAGAAAACAAAGTGATTGGGGTGGCAGCCAACCTTCGGAATTTTGTTTCACACAAGGGCTAACAGAATCACATCCGCACACCCGACCATGTAGTGAGTCAAGAAAACCACTGCTAAGAACAAACAATATGGAAAAATTACTTTCCAAGCACATACCTCTGCAAGTAGCTTCTGATCCAGACCACTGCCCATTTGGTTGACAAAGCCGAATGCTGCTTCCCACGAGATCAAATCCTGCTTTGCATCGGATTCCACAGGCAGCATTAAAGTAATTGTTGCAGACATTCTGGACAAAGTGACCATTTTCTGGGGGCTTCAGTTCAGGGCAGTGAACAACTAAATAATTAAACAACCACAACAAAGTGGTTACTAGCTGGAGTGCAATGGGCCACTGAAGGAAAACAATCTTTTAAAATTTCTAGCTCAGCTTGCACCTTGGCATTTTTGCTGGTTTGGAGTGACAGAGAAAATCTTGCATGCAATTTGACATGTCCTTCACAGCACAAAATCTCATTAACAAGTTGCTGCATTGTGCATTCCAGGGGTATTCTGTTCCTGGATGGAAACACTTACCTTCACAGGTTTGTCCTACAGCACGATATCCCTCCTGGCATGTGCAATCCTCAAGGGATGTACTTCCTGGTGGAGAAGTATGATTCTCATCAGGACATGAGATGCAAGTGCTGATTCCACCTGGTGAACCTTCAGGCTTGTACGTTCCTGGTGGACAAGCTTTTAGCAAAAGAAAACAGAAAGGAATTCAGGACATTCACCTTTCTTCTAGCATATTTTTTCAGGTGTGTTGCTTTACTCTTTTTACATTATTCATTTATATATTCAGTGTCACTTAAGGCAGGAGCATTCTCCACTTTATGTGCTGTGGAGCTCTTAAGAGGTTTGAACTAATGCCTACCAGACTTGGTGGAGTTATCTATAGTGGCTGTCTGGGGGCTGACATTAAGTGTCCACAATTAATCATCTTGAAAAGAAACCCAGTCCCAGAGGACACACCAGATTTTCACTGACAAAACCTGTGAGAACTTATGAAGACATTCTTGATTCAGAAGTTTAAAAAATTAGTTCAGACTTAATCCTCACCATTCAAAACTACACAGATGTTTAATGCATACATATTCATAGAAAAAAAACCCTAATACAAGCCAGCAAAACCCCGCCTTTGATTTATGCATTATGATATATATGATCTATACACTTGATATGCTAAAATGTGAGAGGCACAAATAATGAAGGAATTAATCAAAGCAACTACCCCTTGAAGCCTTTGCACTCATTTATATTGCATTTCATATTTTTAATTCCGTGCACCTACACACACAAACTTTAAAAACATCCAGGTGATGTTTTCTAACACAGGGAAAAAGCACAGGGAAAAGGCACCTCTCATCAGAGAACTTCAAATGGGCTTGATAGCTCTGGGTCTTACTGCTCTTTGTCTTGAATTCTGTTCTTCAGGAAATCACTGTAAATTTTTTTTTTTTTCATAAGATGTGTGAATCAGGGGAGTGACTAATCAACAGGTGCTGCTAAAGTGAAATTTTGATTGACCAGATTACCACTTGAAAAAGAACACAAAGACACTTGTGCTGAGAAATGTAACTCCTAGTGAAAAGTTCAGGAAATATTCTGAGGAGGTTATGCAACAGAAACACTGAAACCCAGCCAAAAAAGCTCTCACTCCAATAACAAGTGTCAACAAAATGGCCACATTTTCTCCTTCGGACTGCAGGTCAGGCTCTCATACTCTCCCCTCAGCCAATTTGTACCATTTGATGTAGCTCTGAATGGCATAAAGGACTGTACAACCATAAACATCCTCAAGTGACTTCCTCCTTGCACAGTTAGGAGTGCCTTGCTTCTGGAGCTGGTCTCTCCTACAGAGCTGTATTTCCTGGAGTTCAGACATTCTGGCAGCATCAACCTCTTCTTTGGTAGGTATTGGTCTATTCTATGACTTAGATGCTGAGATACTCTGCCTCTTGTCTTACTAGCGAAAACCTACTGCCTTCTAGGCAACTGGAAAAAAAATACCAAAAAACAAAGGCAAAAGAAAATCCAGTCTTCTTCCTCACCCATCATGAGAGATTTGACTTTCATAAGGCACGTTTTATGGAATATACCCCCCAAAAAACAGCCAATATGAACAGGTGGCACTTTCCAGAAGGAGGGTGATTTTTTGGACAGCTTCCAGAGAAAATACTTTTGTTGTTTTTTCAGAAAACTTTGTGTGGTGTTTTTGAAGAAAGCAACGGAGTGGATTCCAGTAAAGTGGCAATTTTGGGTGCTGAAATTTGGTTCACAAATTTGTATTTTAAATGCACTTTTAAAGAGACAATGACAATGCCTGTCCAGTAAGGGATATAAGTATAAAACAAAGCATTTCAGGAAGCAAATAGGGCAGAAAAATCCAATCAGATTTAGAGATGGGAGTTTTTAATATTTTTTTTTTGATTTTCAGGAAAGTACTGGGGGAAAAAAGTCTCTTTTATATAATCCACCTGTTCTTCCCATCCAAAACAATCTTCTTGGACTTTTACTACTTCTTTCCTTTGTTCTTGTGCAGAAATTTCCATCTTGGACATCACATGCCTGAAATATTCTTTCCTGCTTTAGATGATCAGAGTTTCAGAGGCCTTACTCTGAAATCTCTGAAATATTTCCATCTGGCACTTTGTGAAGGTCTCTGTGCATCCTTTTTAAAACTGTATCCAGCACAAAGTGATGAAGTGCATCCAAGAGGAGACAGGAAAGAGTGAAAATTAAGCATCACAGGGGACCTGCTCTATGACAGAGCTGCTCTCCATATGCCAGCTGAAGTAAATTAGCCTCTTCTTTACCATGTATGGCATAAAAAATGACATCTAAACTAGGTGTTTCATTCCAAAAAATCCCCCCATAAAACAACAAACCCCCAATCTAATTTCTCTCTTCCTTTCAACCTCACCTTAAATAAAAAAAAAGCAGCAATTTTCTCTTTCTGTTTTGAGAACTATGGGATAAAAGTAATCACCCATTCTATGATGTGAGCACTTTTAACAATAAACCCAGTAATTTGCTTAGAGCTTTGAATCAGTCTGGCTTTGAAGAAAATTATTAATTCTGAAATCACACTTAAAATTTGCTCTTTCCAGTCAAACAGCAGGAGGTAAATAACACTGTTAAAATGGTTATTAATGTCTCTACTGAGAAAAACATGTTTTCCCAAATGTCCTCATTCTTTTTGTATGCTTCAAATGCTTATCACTGCCTTTACAGGAAGCTGAACTATATCCTAACTTGGCATTTTATGTGGAATTTTTTTCAAGCCTGAATCCTGCTCATTGATCCCACATATGCCCTAGACGTATTCAAAATACAAAACTCCACACAAGTTTCCTTCAGAATCTTTGCCAGAAAGCACTGGCTTACAGAGATATTTCCTAGTGTGTGAGATCACACAGCCTATCCTGAGATGTCAAAGAGATGGTTTAAGAATAGAGCATAAGCTCACTGTGCATTTCCATCATTTCCGTAACAGTCACAGAGGTTAGCCTGGCCACAGCTCACCTTAAAACCATCCAAAATCAGCTGTGGATGAGCAGAGCACTGGCCACCTGCTCTAGACTGTTCATACTTGACCCAGCTAGACTGCAGACCCATCCCAGCACTACAGCATGGCCCGAGTCTACACTCAGTGATGGATTCAAAGCTAAGCCAGAGTTTAAGGGGCAAGCACACCTGAAGAGCACAAGCGTCTCAATCCATGACTGATCATACAGTCAGGAATCTTCTAGGATCAAGTAGTGCCAAATTTCATTCTAGTCACCTGTATGCATTCACCAACTCTGTGCCAGCAAAACACTGACTACAGGGAAAGATCATATTCTTTGGCGCTAATCCGTAAAAACAATTGACATTTCTTTTTAAGGTTTGCTTCCCCTTCCAGTGATGTCAGAATGTAAACAGCCTCAAAACAGTGTGTGAATAAACCCCAGTGTAAAGAAGTACCAATTTGTCGCTGTCAAGAATGACAAAAAGAGGCAAGAATTTAAAAATTGGAAAACAATTTTAACAGTATCATCCTTCAAAGAGAGGGGAAATTCATGTGCACAATGCATACATGATTCCCTCAACAAAAGATGTGAATTTCTGTATGTTGTTCTCTGCCCAGAAGTGAGGGAGGAGCAAAGAAATGCTTTTTGTTTAATGTAATTCTCCTCTTGAGATCAGAACAGTGAACACTGAGCTACACCAGAGGATTACCTCTTTGTTAGAGGATATCTGGAAGCAGGGATTAGTGTGCTAACTCAAACAAGCACAAGACCCAAATTCCCCAAGCACACAAAGATGGCTCATATTGAAGTTGCCGTCAACAACCTGCTTTCATAAAATGGTAGATATTCATCAACAATTCACATGCAGATTCTATTGTCTGTAGTAACGACAGTGCAATAACTTTCTGACCAGAAATGATAATAAAATTAAGTACATTGTTACTTCAGCACGCCTCGTGCATTTTCCTCCTCACGTATGTTCTCCTAGGGTATGTAACTAACTGAAAAATTGTAAGAAAATCAAGCATGTGTCTTCTGGGTTTGAACATTACTGGGCTTGATGACATGTTGGGCCACCAATGGAATGCACTTTCTTATACTTCCTTATAGTCTTACACCAAGTTGCACATAGAAAAGAAATTACTAGAAAAGAAATATGTCAGGGGTTTGCTAGAAACAAAGACCCACAGGGCAGACATTAAAACATTTCAAACTAACCATACTGACAGCACAAACTATATGTCAAGATGTTGTTTTCAGATGTTTGTTTCAGAGATTTGCCAAACAATTAATATGCATTATCCAGTTTGGCTTTTATAAAACTGCAAATACTAAAGCCAGCAGCAAAGTTAAACCAACTAGCATTGAACCCCTAGAATGGCATAAAGACTCCAGTCTGGACTTAAACAAGTAGAGATCATGGGACAAAGGGTTCTTCTACTCTTTGATACAGGATCACAATTCTTCCTCTAAATGTACAAGTACAAATTTCAAGGATAAACAATTCTGCCTTAAAAATGTAAAACTTTAAAAATCATGGGAGAGCAGGCAAACTCAATTTCCTCTCCAACTAGTCTAGTGCTCTAAGTCAGTGAAATGGAATTATTCTTCAATTATCCCACTGTTAAGAGAGAGAAGACTCAAACCCCACACATTTCAAAGATTAATTTGAGGGATTTTGTATTTTTCTTCAATGCATAATTTCTCCCACTAACTACCTTTACTAAGTAATCCCTGGCATAAACCATTTTTTCCACACTTTATGCTAATGAAGGATCTGATTAAGGATTTATCTTTTGTGGGATATGGCAGGAATCAGCTAGGCAATATCCTGCTCTCTTCTGCATCAACCTGAGCTCTATTGATACACAGCTTCTCTGATGACTGTAGTTTATAATTCTCATTTTTCCCCAAAAGTGCAAAGCCTAAATGAAATGACACCACGATGCAAATCTCAAATAATCTTTATAACTCAGCCTCCAAACAGATTCACTGAGGAAAGCAAGCCTGGTTTGCCATTTAATCAAGTCGTGTTTATGATACTGTAATTTTTTTTATGACATAGATTACATGGGTAAGTATTCAACAGATCTGTGCCAGAATACCCGTACACCATGAATACCTGATCTTACTTGGTTTTCTGGTGCCTATTAAAAATGATAGAACCCAGAGGTTACAGAA